GCTTGGCGCGTAAGTCGGCCTTCAATATCACTTTTGGTTTTTTTCTTTTGGATATAGGAGAGAAAAGGAACGATCGCATACTGGATAGATAGAGGAGTACCTCGGGGGTTTATACAAGCCCATTTCACCGACCCATGTAAGGAGCCTTCTCGCGCAGCGGCTCAGGAATGACAGTTATGCACAAGGAACATCAAAACCATATTAGACAGTACACAATACTAGACACATGCACGAGTCCTACATTTGCGAGATAGTAAAACCCCCGTTCACATCACGGAAATCTCCATCCTACTACGATCTAGTAACACTCAGATTCCCGCGTCCCCTGACTGTCATACGACGGACACGACCACTAATGCAGTGCGCCCCTTGAAAAACAGGGAACCCAATCACCTCATCACCGCCTTAGTCAGTGCAGGGAGCCCCCGGGACCGCCTCCCGTCCCAACAACACTCCCTGATTGGAGCGCACAACACTTTTCTGTTCCAGGTTCCGAATATCCCTGCCATCATTTCAATATTTATTATTGTTTATTCTGGTGTTACTACTATTGATTTTCTCCAACACCGCATAATCTCACCGACCTAGTTACCGCAACCCTTATCGCAAATTTTTCTTTTCTCCATTTTCTCTCTCTTATACTTAGTCAATTTACCCTGCCTACTTGCCCATCCCTCTATCAATTCGGGTGTTGGCATCGCATACTAGACCCCATAACAACAAAAAGGCGAAACTAAAATCACCACATCACAATGCCTCCCAAACGCGCAGCATCTAGCGCCTCAAAGGCCAAAACCGAGACTGCCTCGAAGGCTACTGCCGACAAGGTGAAGAAGACCGCAAGCACCAGCGCGAGCGCGAAACCTCAGGCTTCGAGGAAGCGTAAGGCTGCAGACTCTGTGGAGGAGACGACAACGTCAGGGGCTGCCCCGGCGGCGCCGGCGCGGGTGACCAAGAAGCAGAAGGGTGAGTTCAATTGATCAATTGCGTTGCGAAATTGGTGATTTGCTTTGTTTGGGGGATGTTTTTCGCGTGTTGGATGATGCTGTTCCGCGGAATGTTGGGCTAACGGGTATTTGTTACGTTGTGGCAGAAGCTCTGGCCGTCATCAACCACGCGCCTACCCAGCGCCTCGATGTGTATGTCTTCGGAACGAATTGCTATGGTGAATTGGGTCTTGGAGATGCGACGAAAAAGTCTGAGATCCCTGGTCCGGTCCTGAACCCGAAGCTGCCCGCGGAGTCGGTTGGTGTGGTGCAGTTGGCTATCGGTGGTGTGCACTCGGCTGCTCTTACGCATGATAACAAGATTCTTACATGGGGCGTCAATGATGAGGGTACGCTGGGTAGGGATACAAAGGAGGAGCGCAAGGTGGAGGAGAACGGTGATGGCGTGAATGGCGATGATGCCAAGGAGGAGTCGGACTCGGACTCTGATGATGATGAGGTTGACCTCAATATGAAAGAGGCGACCCCTACGGCTGTGGACTCTGCTCTCTTCCCTGAGGGTACTGTCTTCACGCAGATTACTGCGACGGATAGTGCCACGTTCGCTCTCACCCAGGAGGGACGAGTCTATGGTTGGGGTACATTCAGAGTGAGTTGCCACGCTTATTCTCGAGTCATTATTACTTTGACCTAACGTCGAACAGGGAAGCAACGGTGTGATTGGGTTTTCTCCCGAGACGAAGATTCAACGACAGCCAGTCCTGGTTCCCGGTCTTGAGAAAGTGACACACCTTGCGTCTGGCGCGCAACACGTCCTGGCGCTGACGGCGAAGGGCGCTGTTTTGACCTGGGGTTGTGAGGAACAGAACCAGCTTGGTCGGAGAATCTCTGGACGTCTGCATGGCAAGCTCGAGAGTCTCATCCCGGGACAGTGCGCGCTTCCGTCGGATGTCGTGAGCATCGGAACGGGTTCCTACCACTCCTTTGCTGTTCGCAAGAACGGCCGGGTGCACGCTTGGGGTTCTAATAACTTCGGTCAGACGGCCGTCCCGATGAGCGCTGGAGAAAGCGATGCCGTCGTCCTCTACCCGACGGAAGTCAAGTCTTTCCGCAAGCACGGCAAGATTATCTCTATCTGCGGTGGAAAGGACCACAGTGTGGCTGTCACCGAAGACGGAAAGTGCCTTTCCTGGGGTCGCGTGGATAACAAGGCTCTTGGTATCCCGCTGGCGGACATGCCATCGGATGAACTCGTGCACGATGAGCATGGACGTCCCCGTATCCTGACGGTTCCAACTCCCCTCACCGATATCAAGGAGGAGGTTGTCTTCGCAACCGCCTCTAGTGATCACTCCTTTGCTATCACCAAAGACGGTCAGGCGTATAGCTGGGGTTTCAACGTACAGCGTCAGGCCGGACACCGCGATGTGGATGAGGTTGAACGACCAACCCTCCTCCAAAACAAGCACGTCAACGGAAAGAAGCTGGTTGCTGCTGCAGGAGGAGGCCAGTTCAGTATGCTCGTTGGAGCTTACTCGCCGCAAGTGAACGGAACCGATGCTTGATATTTTCTTTTTGATGCGATTTTCTGCAATAGTTCTGTTACCCATTTGAATTGAGCTCTATGTATTATTATGTGACAGTAGTTACACTCCAATCACGAGACTTTCTAGCGATTGCGCTCCTAGCAGAAAGTGGATACTGACTATGCGTAGACACTACAGACAGATAGCTGCTTCGAAGTCGTTGGCGTCAATTCTCCTCGGGCCTCGAACAATCCTGACTAGCCAGCCAGTCATCCGGTCTATGCAGGTTGAGCGTTTCGCCGGTGGTTATCCGGTTTTAGGCCCGGAATACTACAAGGTCGAGGGCATCCCCAACCCGGGGCTACCCAAGGCTCCACATATCGGCGGAAGAGCACCCCCTCTTTATCTTATTTTCAGATCAGCTGGACCGGGGAAGCACAGTCTAGGCCGTGACCGGCAGAAAAGCAACGAAGTGGTTGGAACATCCTGCAACGAGAACGGAGGAAAATTCCCGCTGATTTCTCCGGTGCTGGATGAAGCACGAAAGAATTACGGAGAGAACTGGGTCAATGTTTTCGCAGGTAGCCGAAGTGGTTGTCCAGTGCAACCGGTTGACCATTGATCACAGAGAGGGATGATGTTACCATCTATACTCCTATATCCAGACCCTGAGAAACTACGTACCCCTGCTGTCTAGGTGTAAGGCGGAGTAATGTATCCACCCTTTCGAGCAAGACCAGCAATAATACTGTTAGCCAACCTGCTGCTTGATTCCTGGACGAGAGAAAGTCGGACCGAAGGCAAGGCAGCCTGAATGATGTCATGTGATGGGCGCGGGGATTCCCGGGAGACTAAGCAGCCTGAGGCAGCCAGCAGCGTCATTGCGGGCTTCCGAATGAACCCCACCATAGCAGGCAGGGAAGGGAACAAGATGGAAGCATCATCATAGCCTCGGACTAGATTTGTCCGGTGTTGTAGACTTAAAAAGATTTCTACAAGGTCCAGGATTGAAGTTCAAAATTCTTTCCTTTCCCCCCCTTTTTCTTCTACCCCTTCTTGATCTACAATCTTCAATAGCATCACCACGAACAGTGCTCTCCCGTGGAACCCCAACCGGTCACTGAAATCATACTGAACACATCATTCCCCACCACCCGGTGAGTCCTTCGAGTACCGTTGGCCCCTCCATGTCCCAAGTTCCCCCCCTCCTGGTCCTTCGTTGCCCCTCCTTGCCCGTGCTCGTCATTTAAATGTCCAGCTCCGTATTCGTCGCTCGGTAAAGCTTTTAGTCCTCTGCCACAGAATTTATTTGGTCCCTCTGTCTCGCTCCTCCTGCTGTTGTCCTCTTCTCTCTTCTCCATCCATCAAGCAATCAATTACTCATCAATCTACCTCCCTTAGTCCTCATTTACAAACAATCACAATGGGTGTCCTTGAGCAGCTCTCCCGCAAGTCCGGTGTCATCGTCGGTGATGACGTTCTCCGTCTCTTCGAGTACGCCAAGGAGAAGGGCTTTGCTATCCCCGCCATTGTAGGTCTCACCACCCCTCAATTCCATCCCGAGAAAGAGACCAGAGTGACTAACAGCTGCCCCATCGCATCAGAACGTGACTTCCTCCTCCACCGTCGTCTCTTGCCTTGAGGCTGCTCGCGACCAGAAGTGCCCCATCGTCCTCCAGGTTTCCCAGGGTGGTGCTGCCTACTTCGCTGGAAAGGTATGCTTAGAAACATTCCTGACCCATAGGTGCTCCTTTGAAGCCAAAAAAACAGGCACTGACTGTTCATGATAGGGTGTCAGCAACGATGGTCAGAAGGCCTCCATTGCCGGTGGTATTGCCGCTGCCCACTACATCCGCAGCATTGCTCCCGCCTACGGCGTCCCCGTCGTCCTCCACACCGACCACTGCGCCAAGAAGCTCCTTCCCTGGCTTGATGGTCTCCTCGATGAGGATGAGCGCTACTTCAAGCTCCACGGCGAGCCCCTCTTCTCCAGCCACATGATTGACCTGTCTGAGGAGCCCGTCGACTACAACATCCAGACCACCGCCGCCTACCTCAAGCGTGCTGCTCCCATGAAGCAGTGGCTCGAGATGGTATGTTCTACTTTCACTGCTGCTAGATAAGAGCGTCGACTGACTGTGCTTAGGAAATCGGTATCACCGGTGGTGAGGAGGATGGTGTCAACAACGAGGATGTTGACAACAACTCCCTGTACACTCAGCCCGAGGACATCCTGGCCATCCACAACGCCCTCGCCCCCATCAGCCCCTACTTCTCCATTGCCGCTGGTTTCGGTAATGTTCACGGTGTCTACAAGCCCGGCAACGTCCGTCTCCACCCCGAGCTCCTCCAGAAGCACCAGGCCTACGTCAAGGAGAAGACCGGCTCCTCCTCTGACAAGCCTGTCTTCTTTGTCTTCCACGGTGGCTCTGGCTCTTCCAAGGAGGAGTACAAGGAGGCTATCAGCTACGGTGTTGTCAAGGTCAACCTTGACACCGACATGCAGTTCGCCTACATGTCCGGTATCCGTGACTACATGCTCAACAAGAAGGACTACCTCCTGACCGCTGTCGGTAACCCCGACGGTGAGGACAAGCCCAACAAGAAGTTCTTCGACCCCCGCGTCTGGGTTCGTGAGGGTGAGAAGACCATGACCAAGCGTGTCCAGGTTGCTCTGGATGACTTCAACACTGCTGGCCAGCTGTAAAAAGGTCTTGACGTTTACCTGATGTGATGTGCCTTCGGAATATGACGAAACCAGATACCAGTACATAAAATGACAATTCAAGAACGGCAAAAATAAGTTGTTTGTTTGATCGTAACCTGGAAGCAATGATTCGGGGGCCCATTGGCTGCCTGTTCGGGGGTGCTTGATGTGGTTGACACGGAGTTCTGAAAGCGGTGATGATGCTGATGATGATGTATGTAGTAAGTAGTCTGAAGACAAAATAAAGTAATGTCTGCTGTCTGAAAGTTAATGCGCGAGTTGTGATCACTTCGGCAGCGTATCCGAGCGATGACTTCATGAACCCGTGTTGCTCCAATGACCCGTAAATAATGGAGTTTGTCTCGGGACATCAATTCACGCAAACATGAGTGTTCTCCCGCTCTGGATGTATAAATAGAATACTGGGGTGTGATGCTGTCAGCTTGGACCCATGATCACCATCGAGGTCGACCAGTAAGAGGGAAGCTAATCCGTGTATATCAGCTCTACCTACTTGTCTCTTCTGTACCTTGCACCAATGCAATTAAATCCCTTTCCGTGGCCACCAGTATCTGTGCGCAGCTGATAGAAACCTTCGTTCATGGGTCATAGTGCCGGACCCTGAAACTTGATCGAGTTAGTGGTTTTGGTCGCTCCCAGTTTGCATGGCCTTCAGCTTCTCCGTCCCCCTTTTCTGACTGTGTAAGATGGATCCTCACAACTATTGGCAATAGTAGTAGAATAGCCGTGCACCGATTAGAGCATTCATGGTGCGAAAAGGGGTTACATAATCCGAGAGATCAAATAGCCACATCAGCCGGTACTTGGGTATCATGAGGTGCCGTCATTTTCGTCTACAGTGCCCAATGAGACTGAGATATCGGTGACAGGGCCCGTCTTCTTTCACTTGATGGAATGGAAGAAGTGCTTTCTGTGCTCCATCTGACCCAGAGCCACAGAGTTGCTGGTCAGCCACACTGGTAAGTATGGTCAGGTAAGGTACCCGGACGACATTGCCATGTATCGTGGCCAATCAAGCCAATGGACGCCCCGAAATACAGGCCTCACTGGGTGTAAATGCCAAGAATGTGTCTCAGAAAGGCAGCGCTAGTCCGAAGATGATCAGAAATTGTTCCAGACTGGATGGCAATGACTGACCGGGATTGGCCCACCAAAATAGCAGCCGGTCGAGGATGGGGCATGAACCAACCAAATTGCCCGAGTGGATCAGGGCTGTTGTGGTTTTTGCTTTTTTGTCACTGAACTTGCTGGAAAGTCTGATTTTGAGGCGAGCACTGCTGGCACGGTCATCGAGTGACCCTTGAAACCGTGCGGCAAAGAACGAGCATGGAGGGCCTGAAGGACGTGGAAGGGGGAAGGGGAAATAGTAGCTGAATACATATACAATCAAGCAGGGGAATCAAGCTTCCTACATTCTAGATCGTCTGTCCCCAGTCATGCGAGAACCAATGACACCACAGACAGCGTATCACTACTTAATTAATTAATGCATTTCCGACCGAGCCTGCCTGTCATTCGGGCCTGATACGTACCTCCGGTACGTAAGTAAGACCGCCCATTGATCCCCAGAAGAATGGATTGATGGGCAACGGCCACTCCAACCTTGTCGGCGTCGTGTGTTCCAGACCCGCCTCCAACAAAACCCACTCGGGCCCTCTGCTTCTCCATCATCATTCATTTTCTTCCGTGGCCATCAGTTCCTTTATCTGGTTCGGTTTCACTCTCGTTTTCTTCCCTTCTCTTCCGGTGGCATCGTCCCCTCTTTCTTTGTCTATCTCGCCCTCCCTCATTCCTCCCGTTTTGCTCCCTCGATGCCGCCTCGTCTCGCCCGCCATCATGCATCCTAGCGCTCTTCAGCAGCGCGATGACGACCCCACGGAGCAATTCCTGAAGCTCATCTCGAATCCATTCTCATCTGCCGTATGTTTTTTTCGCCCGCCCGCCACTTTCAGCCTCCAACAGTCAGCTAAGACTTTTTATAGTTCCAAGTCAACGCCATCTGGGCTTCATTAGCCACCTCCGCGGGCTTCTCCATACTCTTAGCCTTATTGTTCTCCCTCTTCCGCCCTCGCCATTCGGTCGTCTATGCGCCCAAGGTGAAACATGCCGATAATAAACACACCCCGCCGCCGGTGGGTAGGGGCTTTTTCGCCTGGCTCAAGCCCGTTCTGCGGACCAAGGAGCCGGCGTTGGTCGAATGTATTGGTCTCGATGCGACCATGTTTGTTCGCTTCACCAAGATGTGCCGGAATATCTTTATCTTCTTGAGCATCATCGGCTGCGGCCTCATGATTCCGCTCAATCTCACACAGAGCACGGGAGATACGGTGTCTCAGTATGGTGCCTTCTCGACGATGACCGTGCTCTACGTGACATCCAACGCAATTTGGGGCCAGGTGATCTGCGCATGGGCCTTCGATGCAATCATTGCTTTCTTTCTCTGGAGAAATTACAAGGGCGTGCTGGCGCTACGGAGGAAGTATTTCGAGAGTTCCGAATATCAGCGCAGTCTTCATGCGCGAACCTTGATGGTGCGATGAAGCAATCTTCTAGACTTGACATATCCGTACTGACCTCTTTCGCCGGTAGATCACTGATATTCCTCCCGCAGCTCGAGGGGATGAAGGCGTTTTGCGTCTGACAGATGAGGTGAACCCGACCGCCGCCGTCCCGCGAGCCTCCATCGGCCGAAACGTCAAGGGACTACCTCGCCTGATCAAGGAACACGACGAAACTGTGCGCGAACTCGAAGCAGTCCTGGCCAAGTACCTTAAACACCCAGATCGTCTTCCACCGAAACGTCCAACCATGCGCCCTCCGCGGAAGGAAAGAAAGGAGCACACCAATGGCCGCGTGGATGCCATTGATTATTTGACGGACAAGATTAAAAGACTGGAAGAAGAGATCAAGCACGTTCGATCCTCGATTGACCGGCGCAATGCCATGCCCTTCGGTTTTGTCAGCTGGGATATGATTGAGCATGCCCATGCCGTTGCTTATACCGCGCGCAAGAAGCACCCGGAAGGAACTACAATTGTTCTGGCGCCCCGGCCCGATGACCTCATTTGGGAAAACCTGCCACTGTCGAAGGCCGCGCGCAAGTGGAAGCGGTTTCTTAGTGCAATCTGGGTGTCGCTTCTTACACTGGTGTACGTCGTACCTAACGGCCTGATTGCGATCTTCTTGTCCAATTTGAACAACCTGGCCTCGGTCTGGCCGGCATTCAAGACATCGATGGATAACAGTCCTTACATCTGGGCTGCAGTCCAGGGTATCCTGTCCCCCGCGGTGACCTCCCTTGTTTATATTGTCTTGCCTATTATCTTTCGTCGGTTGGCAATCCGAGCCGGCGATGTCACCAAGACCTCCCGAGAGCGCCATGTCCTCAACAAGCTCTACACTTTCTTTGTCTTCAACAATCTGATCGTCTTCTCCTTGTTTTCTGCGGCGTGGACATTCGTGTCCGCCGTCATTGACGCAGAGCGCTCCGATGAAAACGCCTGGCAAGCGATCAAGGATGGGAAGCTCTATATCAAAATTGTGAACGCTCTGTGCCAGGTCTCGCCATTTTGGGTGACATATTTGCTGCAGCGTAATCTCGGAGCCACAATTGACCTCATTCAACTGGTCTCGGTCTTTTGGGTCTGGTTCTCCAAGACGTTTCTCTCGCCGACGCCTCGACAGGCTATTGAGTGGACAGCTCCACCGGCTTTCGACTACGCAAGCTACTATAACTACTTCTTGTTTTACGCGACCGTGGCCCTCTGCTTCGCTACCTTGCAGCCAATTGTCCTCCCGGTTACTGCTTTGTACTTTGGCCTGGATGCCATGATGAAGAAATACATGCTCCTGTATGTCTTCGTGACGAAGACGGAGTCTGGGGGCCAGTTTTGGCGGGTCTTGTTCAACCGCATGCTCTTTGCCGTGATTCTGTCTAACATCATTATTATTATCGTGGCTACCGCCAAGGGCACGTGGACTATGGTTTATTGCGTGATTCCCCCTCCTCTCCTGATGTTGGCCTTTAAGTTTTACTGCATGAGGAAGTTTGACGACGACATCACGTTCTACAACCGCGCAAACTTGACAGACGCTGAAGCCCTGGCGGTCAGCAAGCCGAATAAGAAAGCATCAGAGCGGCTCAACTCCAAGTTCGGCCACCCGGCTCTCTACAAGCCTTTGATTACGCCGATGGTGCACGCCAAGGCTGCGGAGGCCCTGAAGCGTATCTATAGCGGCCGGCTGGGAACGTTCGAGGGCGAGGGTGAATACTCCGACATCGCCATGGATGCCATGTCGTCTTCGCACCCGGGCAAGTCCATGATGGACAATGCAGACCCAGCTCCGTTCGAAGTGGTCCCGGAGAACCATCTGGATTTCTCATACTACAAGAACCGCCCGGATTTCCGGGACGAGTTTGGCGGAGGTATCTACGGCCGGCCCGACGATCTGATGACCGAACGCTCGCACACACCGGCCAGTGCGCTGGGAGAATGGTCGCCAACCTCCTCGCGGGCGTCGTCTCCCGCTCCATCACTGCCGTCGTCGCTGTCCGGCTTGAAGCCACATGACACATACGACCCGACGTTGAATGAGCATATTCATCCCGCTTTCCGCGTGCCGGCCCCGATGAGTGGTGGATTCTATCAGCAGCGAAACGAGAGCGAGACGGAGTTGCTCCATCATGCGCAGGGCCCGGCGGTGAACGAGACGGTGACGCCGCTGGATCGGTGGCGGACGAGGGGATATGGACCTGTAGAGCAGGACGACCCCAGCTTCACCTCGTACGAACACTACCGCATGCCACGGTGAATGATCTTGATTTACAGCGTAACGATTGTGCATAGACATTGGGATAGGATTTGGGCGGAGTACGGAAGACATGTGCCTACGACTTTTGATTAGAATTGCTGTACATAAATTGCATAGAAGCATATTCCTGGACATTCTTCTAAAAGAAAATATACCTGCTTTGAATATATATAGTCTGTGTTTCCTACAATTAGCTTAGAAGTATTGTGGTTCGTGCACCCCCGCGGAAGGGTGCTGACGAATTGCCCAATTCGGCAGAGGTCGTATCCTCGCCAAGTCGGCCGGCGATCATCGAATCCCAGCAGTTTCCCCCTGTTCACCAGGGTTGTGTCCAAGCCTCGTCGCCTCCGGTGATGCCACCGCCTGTCATTTCTCTTCTCCGCACACGAAAATCCGACATTCGTTCGTTATTTACCTACCTTGCATCACACCACCGCTTGCCCGCCTTTTCTGCCTGCCCGCCCTATCGCCGGATCTCCGGGGACCAAGCCGGGCTTGCCAGCATCCACAGTATATCTACATGATCCTTCCTGCCAGCGCAGCAGCGTAACCCACCACATCCTTTCATTAATCATAACGATCTCTGCGAGCGAAAGAACCTTCCCCCTGCATCCCGCAGGACACTGCACCACCTCTGACCGCCACACTGATACCGATGCAAATACCACAATACTCCAACCCACCTACCTAGTACTTTGCTCCCAACCTATACCACTATCTACTACACCCTGTCAACATACGATAAAACCACCCCAATGATGGCGTGGTACTCTCTCCTTCCGCCTACCCTCTCCTACATCGAAAGCTCGGTCGTGCACATCTTCGTCCGTTTCCCCTCCCCTCCCCCGCTCGGGGTACCCTGAAGAAGAAAAGAAGAAAGCAAGCAAACTAACTATATGATTTCGCATGAGCAGATATTCCTCGGCTTCGTGACTATATTTCCCTGGGCGGCGCTTCTCATCTTTGATATATGTTTGTATACGGGGCGCATGTTGACGTTCGAGTTACCGGTCGTGGGGGGTCGAGCTCGCGGGAAGCAGCGGCCAAGGGCGCCGAGCTTGAATGAGCGGCCGGGTGGACAGCCTCGGGTATTGGTGGGGCTGAGTGCGAATACAAGTAGTGGCGGAGGTGGTGATAATGGCCGGGAGGAGAAGGGGCTGGAAGGGGTGACGAGGAGGGTGGTTGCTCAGGTGGAGGTTGATGGTGGTGTTCGTGGTGGGAATTGATACCTGGGGTGGTGGTTATAGTTGGGGATGCGAGTGAGGTATAACGGTATGGGATATTGATGGTGAAACCTCCTGGTGAGGGCACATACCATATCTCCTGCCTTTGATGACTGATCTGGTGCATTTTACTTGAGGCGTGCGTTTGAGATTTTGTTAATGTGGCATTTTCAATACCCCTGTACCTATATTAGGTTGTTGCTTTTTTGTCTTCTCAGTTTAATGGTTGATTACTTGTTGAGTGGTTTGCCGAGACACCAACCTGCCTGCCTTGCTCATTTGATGACGGTTTAGTTTATGTTCTTATTCAGGGTTTGTATACCGTGTGATCTTATTCTCTACCCTGCTTATATCTCTCCTGCTTCAGACAACTTAGTACTGACAGTAGAGATGTTTGCTTAACATACCAAATTGTTACCGTTATCGGAATCTTGCTGGTCAATTCCCTAAATTCTTCAATTAGTTGCTCTTCTGTTCTCGCATCTTTGCTCGGTCATTTCTATCCTTGCATACTTATCATCCTTTATACAACTCACCTAATTTAAGCAATCCAAAGCTAGCTGCATAACACATTAGGGATAGTGAAAGTATCTGCCTCCCCAAATGACCACGATAACATCATATCAGATCATACCAAGTCCTGATGCTGACCAAGTCATAACCAAGAGCTTTAATACAAGTTACAGGAAACACTCTGAGGTACATCTCTCGCCAAATAACTGTCTTATCAGACATAATACATGCATTATCTTCACAAGATCAACCAAGGAGAGAGCATACCCGGTCATGGATCATCGTTGATGTAATACCATTTCCAATACGACCTCGTGAGCCATCGCCGGAATGGGGAACTCTTCCCCGCATCCGCTATCTCCAACCGCCATGCCATCCATCCCTTCTATCAAGCAGCTATCAACTCCCGCCGAGTCGGGGATTCGAGCAATCGGCGATGGACGGGCGTATCAACCAATCGCGGATCACGATACGCTGCATGCACTACATGCAGTACTAGTATACTGATAACTGAGATGTACAAGAGCTAAAGACCCCCCTCATTCGCTTGTCTTTGACAGTTCACACCGACCTCAACCACCATCAACATGGACATGAACATAGAAGATTGGATTTTCTATATCCAAAACAACCCCATTGTCGTAGTTTTCCTTGTCCTTGCACTGTGGTTATTCGGATTGTGGAATCGAGTAAGTCTACTTCTGTCTACCAGTGCACGCAATCGACTAACAATATGCGCAGCAATCATCTCCAGTCATTCCTAAAGATGAAGAAGATACCTACCCCCCAGTCATTCCCCTCCCATCCTTCAACTGGGAGACCACGGAACCTATCAAATACCGTCCCTTTAAGCCAAAATACCACCTCAGCATGGGTAGGCATCCTATACCCCTTCCTATCGAAGCCACCCAGACAGACAACATCAACTAACAAAAGCAAAATCCAGCCCTAACAACAACCGACATATCCCATCTCATCCCCATGGACAAAACCTACAAAGACCGTCTCTCCCTCCGCCAGTCCCTCCTCGCCCAATACCCCACCATCGTGGTAGGCGTCACTCCAGCAGGCCAGAAACCAGATAGTCCCGTCTATGCCGCCGTCACCGAACTCTACGACTTCATTGTAGGCGTATACCTTCCCACCCGCTACCCAAGCATGTTTACACTTGAGACGATCCATTCCCAAGATCACAACACCACCAACAACGAGGAGAAAAATACCAAAACCCTATTGAACAAAGTAACCAACACCCGCATCCCCCTCCCCCACACTGGCTCCGGACGAGATATCCTCTCTACCCTGGGGACATTCGTCGACGAGGACTTTCTCATTTTACTTCCTGATTCATCCCCTCAACCCAAGGAAAACCAAGAAGAAGAGAAGAAATATACACTAGAAGCATACACAACCTTCTACCCCGCCGGCTTCGACACGCGCGAAAAGCTCGGCAAGCGGCTGTCGACGATCCACGACCCCGTGCCGCGGTACAAAGAGCGGCTGGAGAAAAGCATGGATCGGTTCTTTGCGAGACTTGAGGTCGGGAAGGTCGTGCAGCGCGTGAACTGGAGTATTAATACCCAGGGAACGGGGCTGTTTGCTGCGTTTGGGGGATTGCATGGGCATGAGGGGGAGAGGGAGAAAGTTTTGGGGGTGAAGGAAGTGGATGGGGATGTGGTATGTCATACTTGTATTCCCCTTTTTTTTTTGTCTCTCCTTTTTCTGTCTTCTTTTCGGGGTCTGGAACGTATACTGACTATGTGTAGACACTCCTTCGGTGTGAGCGTCAGACCTTGCATCGGTTACCGAAGACCAAGGCGCTGGTGTTCACTTTTCACACGTATACGTACCCGATTCGGGAGATCAAGGAGGAAGGGCTGGGCGAGGAATTGGCGTTAGCGATTGATGGGTTGAAGGAGGGGAATGTGCCTGAGATTCATCGCTATAAGAGGGGTCCTGTGTGGGGGGAGGCGGTTAAGGCGTATTTGAGAGCGTAGTATACATTTGGTATCATGTCATGTTTTATTTTTGAGGGACATATCCTGTTCTATACTCTAGACCCATCTCCGAATAAGAGAAGTGAAAGGTCTACTGCAGTCTCTGCACGACCTTGATCAAATCGGCCGACACACCCATAGCAGTAACATCACCACCAGCACCAGCACCCTGCACAATGAGCGGGTTGCTTCCGTACCGCTTAGTATAGAAGCTAATGATGTTGTCACTGCCCTTCAGGCCAGCAATGGCACTATCCTTGTCGAAGCGCTGCAATCCAACACGCACCTCCTTCTTGCCAACATCCACACTACCCACGTACCGAACAACCTTACCCTCCTTCTCGGCACTCTCCTTAATCTCCGTCATCTGACCGTCAAACTCGGCCAACCTCTCCATGAAAGTCTTAGCACCCTCCGCAGAGCCATCCAATCCCCTCAACTCCTCGGGGATCAACGACTCAACGGGGAACGCATCAGGAGCCTGGACCTCCAACCCAGCAATACGTGCCAGGATAGTCAACTTTCTCGCAACATCCATACCATTCAGATCATCTCTCGGATCAGGCTCAGTGTAACCCAACTCCTTCGCCTCAGCCACAACCTCACTCCACTTCCGTCCAGCACCAGCTCCACCAACCGGCGCAAAAGTGTTGAACAAGAAAGAAAGCGTACCCGAAAACACTCCCTCGATGCGCGTCACCTCGTCACCGGTGGCAACCAGATCCCGCAGCGTAGAGATAACAGGCAGGCCAGCACCGACGGTACTTTCATGGTAGACAAGGGCGTTGCCCTGGGCGGCGGAAGCGAAGATGTCCTTCCAGAGGGACAGGTCGGAGGAGAAACCCTTCTTGTTGGGGGTGACGATGGAGATGCCCTTGCGCAGGAAGATGGGGTAGGAGGCGGCGAGGGCGGGGTCGCTGGTGTTGTCGACGAGGATGGAGCGGCCGGGCGCGGAGGAGAGGTAGTTAGCGATTTCTTCAGCGGAGAGGGCGCCGGACTTGGTCAGGGAGGGGGTTGCGCTGGCGGTCTTCCATTCCGCGGCGGGGATGCTGGGGCTGTAGGAGGGGGTCGGGGAGAGGAGGGTTTGGGTGGAGCGGGCGAGAAGGATGAGCTTGGGGGCGTTGGGGAGGCGGGCGAGCTGGTGCAGGAAGGCAGTGCCGACGCCGCCGACGCCTGGTGTTGGTTGTTAGTTTGATTGAATATTTGCAGTTGTAGTTATGGTGGTGGTGATGATTCTCGCAATGCTGGGCTGGGTGCTACTGCAGCGCTGTCTGGGGAATTTGCGGAACTTACCAATGATACCGAGGAAGACAGGGGCAGACATTTTCAGTTGATTTGGACAAGTAAAGCGCTATACTTCACACACAGAGACAATTGAACGAAGAAGAGGAGCAAGAGGAGGGGAAAGATGAGTCGGAGGGGTGCGCGGGGCCATCCTAGATCGGCTTAGTCATCGTCCTATATCGGACCCATCTCAGCTCCTAGTTTAGTTAGTGACTATCTTTCAAGTCTCACAAGGTATAGCTACCCACCACGGACATCCTACAATTTCCAACAACACATCATTCAGTCACAGAAGCGTATCCACCATGTCCAATCCATCTCTATACGGACAACCACGAACGAAAAAATCAACACAGTCCGAAGCCCCCTCCGCCTCCACCCTCGCTTTCACCAGCACCCTCTCCTCCTTAATCGCCAAAGACAGCACCGACTCCTCATCAACTCGCGGCACCGGCCGCCCACGACCCTCCAAAGCTCCCAAATCCGACATCTTCAGTCGCCCCAACAAAGGCGCACAGAAACGTGCCGCTGCTGACCTCCGCGACGATGACAACGCCGCTCTGCAGCAGGCGCACCAGCGCACGCAGGACATCGGAGCCGTGGACGCCGCCACGCTGCACCGGTCCAAGCGGCGGATGGAGGAGAAGGTTCGGATGTACGAAGACATGTCGCGGGGACTATATCTAGCCGGTGGAGAGAGTGATGAGGGGGAGGATGACGTTGGACCGGGGGATGCGTATCTGGCTCGGTTGCGGCGCAAGGAGAGGGAAGGGTTAGTGGATTTTGATCAGAAGTGGAGAAAGGATGACCGTGAAGATGATGAGGAGGATGAAGATGAAGGAGAAGACAATGATGATAATGCGTCGATTGTTTCCTACGAAGATGAACTCGGCCGGTCACGGCGCGGAACTCGAGCAGAGGCGGCGCGTGCGGCGGCGCTTAAAGCGGAGGAAGGGGAAGGGCGAGGAGGAAATACAGAGAGGTGGCGTCCGGCTCGCCCAGATAATTTGATCTATGGGGCGACGGTGCAGGCGGAGGCATTTAATCCAGATGCGGCGGTTGCGTCACGGATGTCGGATCTGGCTGCGCGGAGGGATCGGTCGGCTACGCCGCCGGAGGAGATGCATTATGATGCTGATGCGGAGGTGCGGAATCGGGGTACGGGGTTCTATGCTTTCTCGAAGGATGAGAATGTACGGAGACAGCAGATGGAAGAGTTGCTGAATGCGCGGGAGGAAACGCAGCGGGAGCGAGACGCCAGGCGGGAAAGACGTGCGGAGCGCGAGCGGCTGAGGGATGAACGGAGGAAGAAGGTCGATGAACTGAGGGCTAAACGACGCGCGGAGATGTTCCTCGCCGGTCTGGGAGACGCGGGTCTACTGGCAGGGGGCAGTGGATAGAGGTTGACGCTTTATATTTGCATTTTAGCTGCTTGATCATGTTCTATGATACCCCATTGATGATATATTATGCTAATGAATTCATTTGGTTTCAACAATCCATGGTACATGCATCTCGCCTTTGAGGGACGGAGGGTATCATTGCCTGGTAAGGCAGCTTTATGTGCAGTGAAAACGTAGAATGATCAGAAACAACAATCCAGTAACAACCGTCATCATGTGGCTCATTCCATCGTAAATCGTAACTCATTTGTCGTGATTGCTATATGTACTGGCGAGTCAGGACTGTTTCCTGTTCCTTGCCATAACTGATACAGAACATGCTAGATTTGCAAACATTGTTTTTCGTAGTGTTATAGGTGGGCGAGTTCGGCGATTGTGTCCATGAAGCCTTGAGCATCTAATACCAATCAGCATCTAAGACTTTTACAAAGGCAGCTACTGCCCATACCTGACTTGTTTGTGAACTTCAAGATATGCTCTCCTTTGGGTGTCCGAGGTGGATTATAACTGGGGAAGGTGAAAATGACCCGACGAAGGTCACGCAGTAAGATGGTCTTGGTGTCCACGCGGCGTATCCAGCCTCTGGAGCCGATATGTTCCGTTATGAAGGCTGTCCAAACGGGCATCCTATGTAAGCTGCCCAATTAGTAATGGTAGTCCGTGGAATTGTCGTCTCTCTTACCGTTTCATCTCGCCCTTGTGGACTGATGCCTGCAGACGCACGGCTCCCGACACGTTATCTCGGTACACACGTAAGGCGTGGAGGAAGTCATCATCGACGATTTGCCTAGAACAGTCAGTCTCCATCAGCAGCATGCCATGACGGTCCCCTACCCTCCGAAATGTTCTTCCTCGTCGTCAAGTTCGTAATCACGAATGCGTTCCACAGGCCGACCAGAGTCCTGCGACCGTAGCGCTAAGAACGTGCAGAAAAAGATCACCATCTCTATGTTATGATATGTTAGCCTCTGGCTTTCCGGCTCTCTGTGTTAACAAGTTTGGGTAACATACGCTCAATAGTGCTAAACTTAAGATTAGCCCACAGCACTAGTTCAGAGCCCCCGCGACGCCGTCGACAAATTTGCAAGCAGGAACCAATACGAACGATCTCTAGCAGATTCAAGGGTAGACAAGAGTAATCACTGGACCGAGAGGTACGCCGGGATTTGCACACAATCCGTACGCGATGGTCATCTTCCCGTAGATAGAAGCAGACACGGAGATCCGAGTCACCACTAAAAGCACTGAAATACAGTCAGCTTAATTCGATATCTAGCATTGGATGAGCTCACAGTTGAAATAGCTCCTCGAATCCTTCATCATGAAGCCACCCTTTCACATTACCTTTCACCTCTCCGAGGCATTTGGAGCTAGTCGAATGTCAGCTATCTGTTGTACCCAACTCAGTCTGGCTAATTTCACCTTTCACCCACGTAAGGAATTGGGGTCATGGGGTGCTCATCCAAAAACACCCGTCTGGCCCAGTGGTCACTGACAGGGGTTGAGTCCATTGACTGGCTAGTCGCGGTGGTGCTAGTAGTTGGAGAGTCCGGTGCTGAGGGCACAGAGGGTGGAATGTCAGAGAACGTGGCTGATGATGTGGATGTAGGCGACTGAGGTGAGGAATGAGAAGGCCGTGCTCGCTCGTACGACCTGCGTCCGCGAGGTCTACGCGCATTGACCGGACTTCCTGGATCAGCATTGCTGCCATTGCTGCTGCTACTGCTACTGCTGCTAGAGGAAGGCGAACTCAGTGACATAGAACCCAAACGCGGTGCAAGTCGGCTATCCTGATGGACCAGTAGCCCTTTGAGATTGCTGCGAAGCGAAGCCATCAGACGGGTATCAGTTGCTTCACTACAGGATACTCAAAAGTTAGTCGATCCGGGCCACAATAAAGAAGGGACTGGCTTACGCACCCTTTCATAATTTCACTCAAGTCCCTCAAAAACGATTTGTACTTGGCTAACCGAGTGGACAAAGATTCCTGAGATTCCTCCATAAAATGAGCGCAGATTTCCACCCATAATTGCTTGTACGCCTCGCTGGGGTCGCCTCTCCGTGACTCCAAATCATCGAAGAAGTCCAGCACGTCCTCAAGGGTATAGTTCAAGCTAGCACGGACCAATTCCAGATCAGGATGGATAGCGGATAGCCTGTAGCGGTAAGCCCGATTCCTTGCCATGCCCTCCAGGCCTTTGAGAAAGAGACTGATCGAAAAGAGGTCGACGACGAGGCTGGTGATCTCCGTGTCATGCTCCGGCAGGAGATTGCTGAAAGAACGAAATCCTTCAGCTACAGCCTCCGCTGTCTTGTAAGAATCGTGCAAAGACATAGTGAAGGTCACCTATGGTGTGCCATGCATATATAGATACAGTTCCGTCCTTGAGCACCGCGGATGGTGATGAAGGTTACAGTACAATGGTTGTGTAGTGAGTGTGAAGTATGGGGGAAAGGTAGCGGCAAGGAATAACCAGCGCAGTCAAGCACGCAGAGGGCCGTGGCGGGTCCTCAATTATATGGAAGACCGGAAACAAAAATGCATGAAATAAGGGACCACGGGATAGGGCCAGACGGGAGCCGGGGAGGGGCAGGGAGAGACAACTCAGTAAACTACAACGATGGGGTCAGGAAGGGACGTCTTATCGGCGGATCAGCCCTCGGGAGCATGTTTAGACTGAAGTCTCACCAGGCAACGGACGCAGACCGAAGGAGAATCTGCAACTGGTCCAGCTCTGAGGAGTGAGAGGGCAAGAAGGTCCCATTTACCCTTGGGACGCACACAAGGAGAAGTAAAATAGAGAAGAGGGTCGAGATCATTCGCACAAAAGAATGAATGCAGAACAAGAATCATTCCGCAAGTGGGGCAGGGATCTCGTCGTCAATCGCCCGAAAGGGTAGCAGCAAATGCGGCTCTCTGACAGCCGGACAGTCCTGGCAATGGAGCCAGAGATGCCTTTCACCATCGTCTAACTACCTCGGGCCCGTTGACGTGTTCATGCGGCAGAGGAGGCAAGAAGCCAATAATGAGCGGTGGAAATGCATGGTGGGATTGAGCGGTGATGGCCAGGACGGTCAGGATGGCAGACGAGGTGCAACCCCGCGGCTTGTCGCCATGTTGATGTTCTGCTGGCACTCTCAGCAAGTCAGTCATTAAATCCTTTGAGCCGCTGATAGAAATAAGAAAAAGAAAAAGGAGACGAAAGAGAAAAGCACTTCTGGCAGGCGAAGGAGAACATGAATATCCAATGCCACATTGGATGTAAATCATACGAGAGGCAGTCCACCCCCGAGGGCTCCGGGCTTACTTGCAGGGGTCGCATTCCAGCTGGAACTTCCCCAAAACTTTATTCGGGTTGTACAGACTGCCTCGGTCACGAGACTCGCTATACAGCAAGACGGACAACGCTGGTATAAGACAAGGTCCTATTTATCTTCCAACTTGGCGGGCTTAGTAGCGGGCGCTCATCTCTTAGTATCAGACAAGCTTTTCCATGTAATATGGGCTTTCATACACAAGGCGTTCATACACATTTTGCAGATAGCGATATTGTGCTACCCTGGTATTCAAAGCCGTGGATCGTTACACCCTTCAACCTGACCCCAATAGGAGAATACTCGCGCTTCACAAGAGCGTTAGTTGAGTGAGCTAGACTTTAGCCAGCCCAGCACAATGCTGTTTTCTCGAATTCTAGCGTATCACTAACGGTCGGGCTGTCAGACAACACACACTGCTATGTGGAGCAAATCATGGCCGATATATATATATAATTGAAAACTACTACTACCGGCAGTAACCCCTTGGCAAATCTCTACGAGGCCCGAAGTATCTAATCTTCAATCAATGAGGGGATTAGAATTAGTGAGTAGATACCATCGAAGCAAGCCATGCCCAGATATTACCAAATGAAACTCAAGGCAGCCTAAGGTGTGTTGTCTATGATCAAGTTCAACATCAGTACTATAGTTAGTGCAGCCACGTTGTGCCTGGCGAGACTCAGAGACCACCTAAAGACTAGTAGGCAGTCTCAGCAAGAACCCAAGACCATTCAAGCTTGCTCCCTTTCACTCTCGAATTGCTGCTGCCCCCACATACTAAGCTAGTACTCTAGCCCACGCCAGAGCCACCACAACTTATAGGTGACCACGAGCTTTCCCCGTATCCACTCTGAAGTGCGTAGACCACGGGGTAGATAGTATCATACCTAAGTAGATATTGGAGCTCAGCAATTTTAGAAACAGCCGTTATCTTATCTTATCGCACCAATTGTCTTGCCGATAATGATGACCTTTTCTAGGCTGCTTTGAACGAGGACAAGCTCAATTCAAACCAAAACAAGGGGAAAGGTATATAAGTACTTTGGCAGTCAAAGGGGACCTTTCTAGACTGAGACTGCACAGCAGCCCAACTGAATAGCAACCATTCTGCCAAGACACGCTGTTAAACTCGTCTCGCACATTCTCTGGAAGGTATATTAGGGGCGAGCGGTGCTGTACTTACCCACAGATTATTGCCAATTATTCATGTTAGATGCTGGTTCGCTTAAAGTACCACAACGGGTAGGCACATAGTTGAATTCCACTATACTTGGTTGAATCACAATTTGACCGTGGAATTTGCTACCACGTACAGTAGCCATAGCCAACAATTACTTACCAGATACTAGGACTAGGACCCGGACATGATATGCCCAAGGGAGATACTTCACAGTAGATGCAGACTGGACACTACATCTCCGGACGCGATCCGAACACACACAGTGTACCTTTGCCACCTATGAGTTGTACGTACGCTTTAACGCACGGAAACTGTTTGATAGTTGCCTTGGGTAGGCATACATATAGGATGGATGTCAAGGTGCACTGGTTCCCTATCTGTCCATCCATCCCCGAGATGCCAAGTGGATAGCACGGCCATGCCTGCCAGAGTTTTGATCCAGGTATACTCCTGCAATTGGAGCATCAGCCAGCTACTAAGTACTCTCTTCTGGGTGGCCACATCTTCAGAGTGTGGATCGTCCGTTAGCTAGCGAGGCCTAAGGCACCAAGGCTGCATCCGGAGTTATCGGAAGCCCGACGCGTCCAACACGTAAACAAGCTGTCGCCCCGCGTCACCCCAGGAGCTTGGGCCAACTTTTGCAAACAGAGTCTTCCCGCGGTCTCCAGAAGATGAAAACAAAGTGTCCTGCAACGCTATGAACACCACAACTGGGGCATGTATTCGTCATGATATCATACTCGAAAATAGGATGCCAAAAGGCGAAATTCACGAAAGGCCGAGGACAAGGATGTGGTTGATTAGGCTAGTATACAGCAGATATTGGTCGCCTAACATCACTTCTGCAGCTTCAATTCATATTTCACCATAGGTACTCGCAAGGTTTTCCCGTCGTTCTGAAATTCAGCGCCGGGCACCTCTTCAAGTCAAATTCGTCCCAAAGCCGCCAGTCCGTACAGTAAAAATTTCCCATCGAGAATCCTTCATAACAGAAAATCAAGAGTTACCGCCATCATCCCATACCAGAAGCCGTTGAGTAGATAAAGAGAAAATATAAGAAGCATCAATTACAAGGCAGACAATCAGCGGAATAAACGACACGAAAAACGCCAATCGGCCAGACACACAAGACCCATGAAGAGAGGGAAACCCTTAGGATGATTCCTCGTCCTCCTCAGCAGCCGCCTGTTCAAAGTTCATTAGCATTGGCTGACAAAGAAACGGCAGGAGTGTCAACTTACGTTGTAGCTGGCCTTCTCGTCTTCGTAACGCTTCTTATCAGCGGCAGCCTTCTCCTCGTAAGGGCGACGGTCAGTGTCGCTCAGAGCCTTCCACCGCTCTCCGAGCATCTTGCCGACTTGGCCTGCATGAAGTTAGACGCCTACATTCCCATTCAAGGTCCAGAAGTACTTACCGAAAGAGATGCCAGGGTTCTCCTCGCGAACCTTCTCACGGTTGTCGTTGGCGAAGAACATGTAGGCAGAGAGACCACGCTTGGGAGCGTTGGGGTCTGAGCTATGCATTAGCATGAGTTCCGAAGATAGAGCAAGGCATACATACCCTTCTTTCTGCGCTCAGTGCCACGGGGCTTGGTCTTGCGGGTGGTCTTCTCCTTGGGCATTTTGATTATTGAGCTCTATGCGATCGTTAGTACTTGGAAGTTGGCTTTGAGTGATGTAGGCAGAATGATCCAGAAGTCAAGCAGGGAGTGACCCAGTTGACACCAAAAGTAGCAGGAAAAAAGGACAGCGACAACAATATGAGGATTAAAGAGCACAGGAAGTGATGCGACAGAGTGCGCAGTGCAAGTGGTGGTTGGAGGTGCGGATAAGCCGTTTGCGCGCGCCCAAACAAGAGGGATCGCGGTCGCAAGTCAAATGACACCAAGAGGGGAAAGGCGCGCAGGAGAGCAACTTACTCAATAATTGACTCTGAAAGAACGCGAAGTTGTGGATTTGAAGGTCGCAAATTTGACCTGTGGAGGATAAGACAGCTTGGGTCAGCTCACTGCTACTAGAACTATATGATGGCTGTAGCAGAGGCGCGACAGCGAGGTCGCGCAACCAGGATGAGAGAAAATCAAGGGAAACAGATGATCAGAAGCAGCTTGTGAAAAAGGAAATCAACTCTGTTGAAAGAGAAAAAAAAGATTGTGTTGGTGTTGTAGAGACAATGCTGAAGAGCGGAATGTTTATTAGGGAACCCACCAGTGCGGTATATGCAGTACTTTTTTGTATGGGAGAGAGAATTGTATGGGAGGAAGCGTAGTGAGAGTAGGTAGAGAGTGAATGAGAGAGGGAGAGGGGGAGAGCAGTAGTAGTAGGAAGAAGAGCGAGGGAAGACGGGAAGGCGGGCCATTACCTACCTGACCTCGCTCACACTTGGGAAGGGGGGAAGTGGGCAGCACAGCAAGGGAAAGCGAGTAGGTCTGCTGGCTGCGACTGGCTGGCCGCCCGCTGGAGCATGGTCAGTATTGTATCATACCGGTCACGTACCGTCATCTGCCTCTTTCCCGGCAACGCTCGCTGGCCGCGTTCTGGACGACAGTGTTGTGCTGGGTCACTGAATGGCCTGCAAGGTTGCAGAGCCTTTCCTTAGCAAGTCAAATGCCACTCAATGGTGTAATCCAGACTTCGCCTGTTAGACAAGATGGAGCTCTCTACCGAACATTGCGCTGATGGAGGTCCACTGTTAGTTGCCGTAATGAACTTTACCATACCACCTTAGTACACCAATTTGCGCCACTATGAGGTGGATAATTTGGCCTTGGGTAAAATACATGGCGGTATCATGAGGGGGGTGTGGTGCTGGTAACCTGGGAAGTACCGGTCGTACCGTATGTTGTTACTCTTTACTGAGTCTAACCAGCAGTGCTAGTATCTACGGAGTCCTCCGTACTAGGTAGAACCTTTCCTTCTGTGCAGCACCTTGAGTGTACTTAAACCTGTGCGTGGCTAGTAGGTTCAGCTGTTGCTACTTCGAGATATCATATAAATCAGCTTGAACTATTGAAATCCAATAGCTATCTTATGTGTTCCGCTATCACTAATAAATTCTATATTTTGATTTTAATTGTTACTTTCATCAATTTTTTCTTGTTGCATGGACACTTCAAGTTGTTTGTTGCCGACTACCCAGCGTTCGGTACCGTGTACCTCGGAGTACTTGCGCGATATTTGAGGATAATCCCGCGCAGATAATTCTCCGCCCTCCCATACAGGCGCTTTATCTTAGGCGGTGCTGCGTCCTAGTAGACTTTAGTAAGATTGTTTCTGGCATACTTTAGGGCGTATGAGGCGAGTATCCTGTATCAGCTCCTGTCCGAGGTCCCGCTTCCCGTGTAGTTACGTGTGTTGGAAGGGGAAGGACTCGTCACTACGTGAAAAGGCTCATCCCTGGTCAGTGACTGTGAGATGTGTCTACTAGACTCCTATAGACATAATCAGCAGTGGTACGATGTGGATACCTTACAGCTTCCCTTGCACAATAAAACTTTTATAGGCCCGAAGATGGGCTCGAGCGAGTTGCTGAGGCTAACCATGCCATTGCCGAGTGACACTAAGGAACGCTCTTCTCCTAGCATATCGACACTCCCCCAATAAAAACGGGGAACCGTGAGAGTGATGTAGCGATGAGAGCAGAAGTGTTACCAGATAGATTAATCAACATCATTAGTTCGGTCACTCTAGGGACATGTGCAGCCTACCTATCCGCATGGCGGGCTAGGAGCTAACTATTTACCTCTCATTATTTCGGAGTAAGCAGTAATTGTTTGGTTACCGCTCCTACCAAATGTACCAGTCACAAAGCAGACCTGCTTCGAGATCACCCACTAATTTCATGCCAGGGTCAGAAAGTACGCCAATTCACAAGTTCACGGACTTCTTCAGTGGCTCACCCCAGGCTATCTGCACAGGGAACTCATTGACCTCAAAGCACCCAAGATTTTGGACCCTACTTCTGTGGGTATCTGCCGTAGGTCAAGTGTCTGTTATCAATAAGTAGAAAGTAGGCTATAACCCAACACTGACGATGGTGTTCCTCCCTAAGGATAGACACAAGATACCAAAAGTGTTGCGACATGTTTGCTTATTAACTATTGCTAGCCCCAGACATTAAAATAGACGATCGTAATGATCTATTGCAAAGGTCTGCATGGATTGTTCGCCCAAAGGGAGGTGCTGCTGATGCGAGACTCGCAAATGCCACCGCATTCTCGTCACTAACAACACCAGCGGAAAGTTACCGGCAAAATACTGGATCCTGTAATGATCGGACGCAACCATCCTTCTGCTGATACCTGCCGATTACTTTTCGGTATTGTAAGCTGCACTGTATCCTATAATGGTGAGGGGGTCGTTGACGCTGTTACTTGGTTCTCGGTGGAAACACCGGCTCCTCTTTGGTCTGGCTACCCTCCCCTCACGGAGCTTTCGTATGCTCACATGCACTCCCTTTGCCTGGTCGGCGTTCGAAGGTAAACACAGATGGCATACATGCGTAAGCGCCGTTGTTGATTTCCGGCTGTCATTCCCCCTTTGTCTACTGCAAGGGTTGCAGCTTATTTCGGACTGGTTTATTGAATTTCTCCCGTCTGTTTCCCAAATCCTAGACTCTGTCAGTAAGCTCTGTGGACACGGTATGACGAACGCTGTTTGCCTTTGCCCGGGTGGGCCATGATGTCACGTGGGTCGCACTACCTATCCTTCAACACCCCGGCTGAGGAAGTGATTACAGTCGTGATTTTCGGATTTTCAGCTTACCCTGGTGTTGTGCCGATTACTAAGCTTTCCTGTACGTCTCCGCGATATCGAAGGAAGGTGAGGATTTGATCAATCACAAACTCAATTTACCCTCAAAGAGTGAGGGAGACATAATAGATATTTCATGTCGTCTATAATTCGGTTCAAGGGTATATCTCATAACGCCTATCCAAGTACTGCAATATACCAACCCACTACATCAATCATCAGATTCGTCAAGGACCAGAGCCGTGAGCCTCTCGTCTTCAGCCCAGTTCACTCCACTACCGACAACCATCCCGCTTGCGATGTTTTTCATGGTTTCCCATTTAGCTTTGCTTTTCCTGCGATCCGCATCTAGTTGATCTAGCTGGGCCTTGAGCTCCGCATCTTCCAGATTCTCTCTCCATGATTCATCATCTACCGTAAGGGCTAACAGCTCACGGACTAACTCTTGGTTTTGCTGGTGGATCTGTGAATTTTCCACCTCCAGGCTTGAAAGCCTTCGAAGAGTTGCATTGTGTGCAGTATTCAGATTTTCATGCGCTAAAGATAGCATGTCGCGACGATTAATGAGCCGTAGGAGGGCCCTGTTTCTGGTAAGTAAGGAGAAGATAATTGAAGCACTCCAAAAATAGGAAAACCAGCAAATAATGCAAAAGGCGCAAGAATCAAGAAAATTATATGCAGAAGACGATTAGTAAACTTACTGTTCAGCTGGCGTCGACGCTTTCAGATGAACAGCCTTGAGGATGGGATCAGTCATAAGAACTGTGCCAACAGCTTTCCTCCTGACTGTATAAGTCGCCCTAGCTTCCAGAAGCTCACGCTCGGCGACGGCTAGTTGCTCTTCAGCATTGTCTCCAGATAGCAAATCCGTGTCTGTATAAGGCATAATGATTAGTTCTAGATCAAGTACAAATGATAGTTTGTTGCTCTAGCAACATGGACACCGACCTTGTTCTAGTAGCGCTTTCTCCAATCGCTGTTCCTGGATCTGCCGATACAGCTGCAGGATCAAGGCCTCTTTGTCGGACAAAGTTACGGTATCGCGAGGGTCGTCGGTCGCGAGATCCAACAACGATACCTCACCTGGGTTCAGGTGAGGCAGGGGACGGACCTTTTCAGATGTCATAGAACACGACCTCGTGGCAAGTCGGGGAAATGATCGTGTGATTGGAAAAGCCCAGCTTGAATGGATCATGGATTGCTGGTTCCCGACCTTTAGCGGTAGGGCGGTGGAGATCCCGGGATGCGGTGGGCGGTTCCGGCGCGATGTCAGACACCAAACCGACCAAACGCAGCCTAGACCGGGGGAGCTCTTTGGGCCTGGATGCCTGTGCAGCCTCACTACTTACTTCCAGTATATGACTCCCTTATCATCTCCCCTCCCGCATTCCTCTCCAGTCAACTCAGGAGCTTTGTTGCTCGTCTTGTGAGGAGGGGATGTCTCTGCACATCTACATAGCTCACACTGGTGAGCATTTTGTTACCGATACAGCGTCCTTTGCATCGTATGTCCCCTTCGCCCTGCTTTCCCATCACCGCCCCTTGAGCCCGGCCCAACTGTTCCTATCATTCCCCTCTCTTACCTTCGGTGGAAGTTAGCTAACATCATCGGCTTTCACAAAGTCCGGATGCAGTACGATCATGGGTGGCCCCGAAGACTTCGATACCCCCTCAACGGCAGATCTTAATGACTGCTCGTGGGAAAAACGTTAAGACGCTTGCCACGGAGGTACGGTCACGCCGAACAATCAAACGAGGACTTTGTGCTAAAGCCATCAATAAACAGAGCGAAATCTTTGTCTATGACCGAAGATGGGTCAGCGAGCCCAACAGCATCCAGATTCCCGAGCTACCCCCGCCACATCCACTGCACGTCGATAACCCGCCCGATACCCTCACAAACCAGAACGATCTACAAGCATGGAGGAGCCTCTACTTAGCAAGGAGGACATGGGCCGCGGACCTCACGGAGCGCTGCGAGTCGGCGGAAAAGCAGATACATGAGCACAACGAGCGCACTGATATCATCAACCGAGCTGCAAGCGTAGCTCTCGAGAACCTCAAAACCCACGTCGGCACCCTAGAGCATAAATTCCAAGAGGCCCAGTCCTTCGCCAATGAACTTTTAAGTCAACAGCAAGCAGCACTCAATGGATGGAAAAGGGCATTGTCAACTTTAGATAGCATTCCAGCTCGCAAGGACTTCCCCTTCCTGGGCCGTCCGTCAACACCAACGAAAGGCAGAGGCCAAGCGATGGGTACACTACAAGACTACGTGGATACAGCGGAGGTACAAAGGGCTGGCTCGGAAGCCCCAGAAATACTTGCGCGCTTTGCCCATCAAGTTAGCACTATCGAGAAAAATGTTAGTGAGATTGCTACAGATACTCAACGCCTGGTTGATGAAGCCTTTCCTACGAGTGTTGAGCCCGTGGATGGACTCTTGCAGGAAATGGAAACAATATCAAATAAGATACAATCCGACTACGAGCATGTTCTGGCCTTGCCTAACAACCCAAAGACATTGGCAAACGTTTCTAGGCTCGCTCTCAGCCATACACAAGACCTTCTACCATCGTTATTGGACGTTAGCAACGAAATACAGGCTGGCCAGGAAGAAGCTGTGAGACGATATAATGCGGCAGTGAAAGCCTCGTCGAGTCATATGCGGCTCATATCTTCTATTGAGTATCGGCTTGCCGAAACTCTACCTCAGATCAACAGCCTGCCTTTGCAAAGCGAAGCATTTGATGTCATTTACACGGTCTTCCATATGCCTATTATCTACGGGTCGGTTCTGATTGAGTCTGTGCGACGTCGCGAGTTCAATGATAAAATGAAGAACGACTCACTGACTTTGGCGGAGGAAATGTCTGTATTCCGGGAAGAAGAGCAGCGTCGAAGGAAGAAATGGCTCAAAAATATGGCTGATTTTATTTCCATCTCTGATGCTACGACCCCTGGCATCGAGATAAATCTACGGGGCCAGGAGCAGGAATGGCCTGCCGTTAGTAGGAAAGAAGTTGAGTCATATATCGAAGACCTGAAAAATAAACCTGACATGGAAAATCACGCCCAAGAACTGATGCAGCGCTTCAAAGAGCTTGATGCTCCTACCCGGATGCAGCGTCGCAGAGCAAAAGCTTTCAAACAGGGAAGTCTTTTTGACCTGAGCCGAAGCTCGCTTTTACTGCGCAGTGACGATATGGTCAGAAGTCTAAAAGATGAGAAAGTCAAGCTTGAAGATAGATTGAAAGGCTCCGAGAGCCGTATTCGAAAGTTAGAGGATCTCCTTCATCGTCAGAGTCATATGAGCCGACCCTCCAGCGGCAACTTCTCACTTGATTTCCCCAGTTCACCGGCGTCGCCTCACCCCGACTCACTTTCAAGGAGATCTTCGGTCTCTTCAAGGCGAATGTCTGCAAATCAAGCTCCGGAGGAAAAGGCGCTCGTACAACGTATCACTCGCCTCGAGGCCGAGCTAGCGGCTGAGCGAGACACGGTGCAACGACTTCAAAAGGAGGCACATGCCGAGCGGCAGTCTAATACCGACAAAATACAAGAAGCCCAGTCAACGAAGAAAGATCTCATTGGCAATCTCGAAGCGCGGCAACGTGAGTTTGATGACGAGCGCAGATTTTTGGAGGGTGAATTAAGAAGGCTTCGAATCCGGACTGAGGAGCTAGAAGAGGAGGTGGACAGAAATCTCGACAGTCGCGAACACGAGAAGCAAGACGCCGATGAGCGCATACATCATCTCGAGATGGAATTGCAAGATGTCCATGCCCGAGCTGAAGAAGAATTGAGGAAAGCAAATGAAACGATTGGACACTTGCAATCGGAGAAGGGCGTAGGAGAAACCCTACGGGCCCGTATTGAAGAGCTACAGAACCAGGTGGCTGAAAACGAAAGGAAAGAAAACGATAACAAGCACGCTTTGCAGGTCGCTTTTCTCAATTTGTCTCCTGGTGGCTCTGTTCCTACCGAATTTCCGAATATCATTAAAGCAATTGAGGTTCTCTCCGAAGGGCTAACAATCCATGCCAAGAATGCGGAGGAGAGTGCCGCAAAAGCTTCAGCGGAAAGCAAGGTGCTCGAAGAACGGTTGGGTCTGATGGAGTCTGAATTGGAGGATTTGAGAAAGACTGCGACCTCACGAGAAACAGAACTTTCCCAAGCTCGAAATGAATTGGCTGAAGGAAAAGCAAAGCTGAGCATTGTGACCTCAGAATTGGAAGATGAACGATCAAAACTCATCGCATTACAGTCCCAATTTGCTGCGGGCGAGACAGGATCCGACGCCCTGCGGGAGCGTGTTACCGAAGAAGAACGGAAGTTAACTGATCTGGCCCAGAGGCTAGCTGAGGTTGAGACATTGGCTCGTCAGTCTGAAGAAGAAGTTACTACCTGGAAGAAGAAGGTTGAAGCAATGTCCGAAGCGGAGCAGCAAACTACTGTACGGTTCGAGACTTGCGGGGTCAGGTTCCAGGAGTTGTCAAAGCAGCTTTTCGCACAAGTGGAGAAGCTGGAGCGCATGCTGGAACAACTAGGGTTCACGATCGTTCGTCAAAATGGTGACATAGTTGTGCAGAGGTCGTCCAAGGTCAATGCCCTCTCTAGCACCGGTGACAGTCTTAGCCAGTCGGGAGTGGTGTCTGTGAGACCGGACGCAAGCCTTCTCGATTGGATGCATGCCGATAGCAAGGAAGAAGAAACAGATAAGTTCATGGCTTTCGTGGAATCCTTATATCAATTTGATGTGGACATCTTCGGCGACGCGGTCGTCAAGCGTGTAAAGGATATTGAAGTTCTTGCTCGCAAATGGCAGAAAGAAGCCCGCGGATACCGAGACAAGTACCACCGGGTTCAAAGCGAAGCCCATGATAAAATCGCCTACCGGTCCTTTAAAGAAGGGGATCTTGCACTCTTCTTGCCTACCCGCAACCAAGCTATCCGGTCATGGGCTGCGTTCAATGTTGGCGCACCACACTATTTCCTGCGCGAGCAAGATGCGCACAAGCTTCAAACCCGGGACTGGCTGCTTGCTCGGATTACCAAGATCGAAGAACGCGTTGTTGATCTCTCCAAATCGATGAACGGTGCCAATCCTGACCGCCGTTCCATCGGCGAAGTCAGCGATGGCACCTCACTTGATGACGAAAACCCGTTTGAGCTGTCTGATGGTCTCCGCTGGTACCTCTTAGATGCCACGGAAGAAAAGCCAGGCGCCCCAGCGACTCCGGGCTTAGGAAAGAGCACTGTTGCGCCAGCACACGTAGACGCCAAAGGCAGCATTCGCATGAAACGCACATCAGCCGGTGGGAATATTGCCAAAACGTTGACCAAGAGCTTAGACAGCCGACGAAATAGTTCCAATTCTAAGAAGGGGCATTCCTCGACTCCTTCACAACGCGGCAACGAATCAACAACAGACCTAGCAAGACTAGCTGAACAAGACACTGCTGCCAGCTTACACTCACGGGAGGCAGCCCCCAAACCCGATGAGGTTCGCCGCAACCCTCCTCAGGGTCCGTGAAAATCGCGGCCCCGACTTTCCTTTCTCTCCTGAACGGAGCTGACGGACCGTCAATAGGGCACGGAACGAATGTACAGGGGCCACCAACGTGCAATATCCGAGGGTAGAGTGTCACCTTCGTCTCCACGTGTTGATAATCTCGACGCTTCATCTATGCACTCGGCCCGCCGCTCGACTCCCAGATACCGGCCCTGGGAGAGACTCTGGTCCGTTGATTATCTTCTGGAGAGTGGTGGGAGTGGTCGCTGAGCATAGGGTATCTGGCATACCCTGCATTAGGAATATCATGCAACTCTCACGATAGATGATTTGAAGGATCCAATGGTTGATCTGACTGATGCTCTACATATTAGTCTCAAGAGATGGATCAGGCCATGCCTGCCTGAATGATACCCGGTTATATGAATAATTTGCCTTATGTCTCATTCGCTCCTTATTATCGTATACAGTTACTCTTTTCGTTGTGTCGTGTAGTTCGCATTCGGCCATTTTGAGTTTTACCAAGCGGAATATCGTTAAGTCCAGGATTAGATGTGCATATTCCTAGCCTCTTTATTGCTATGACACTACGTGAATTATAAACAGATTGATACAAGTCGCCTTCTGACACCCTATTCATAAAGTGCTGACAACGCCTAGTATCGTATCCGATAATAGTACAGGAAGTAATTTGGAAAAGTAGATTTTAGAGATCTTTGCGGTTGGAAGAACAGAGTATAAAGCTAGTTTACAGGTTGAACCTAAATTAGATGCCCTTTGGAACGAAAGAGTAAGTAGTTGAAATATCTGATAGAAATAGCTATCCCTATGTAAAAATTCTGTTGTACAGTCTCCTGCTCCTGAATGCCGGGCAAACGAGGCAGTCAATTACGCTAAGAAAGGAGAGTGAGTCGAGAAACCCCTAGGTCTCTGGACGATAAGTTCATGACTGTCGTATCTCGCAATGTCGCTTCTATACTTGATGCGGGGAGAACACAACAGTGACGACGACGGATTCGCCTGACCAGGGCACATGTCGGACAGTACAGGCGTCCAGAAGGAATCATTAATAAAAGAGGAAGAGAAGCAAGCGGCGTACTACCCACATCAAGATCTGATTCATTAATCAGGAGGTTTAGCCGAAATGGAAGAAGTTGAAGCTAAAGTGGAAGAATTACTGGAATGACGCCAGTATCCGGCTAACCCGATCGGGCAACGCAGCAGTACCGCGGGCGGAGCTCGTTGTTGCGCTTGTTGCTCTGTTGCTGGGGAGTGTTGATCTTGCGAGCTCTTCATTCACTGCATTCCTTGCCCACCATCTGCCCCTAGCTTCTTTGTGTTAGTCGCAAGGAGCGGATTGGCCGAGCCTGTCTCTCATCATGCCTGCTACCCCCGAACGCAGGAGCGACCGAGGGGCGTTGGCGCGTCGCAACCGCGAATACCCCCAGGACCAGCAACTGTCCCCCTTTCGACGAGCTCGCCCTACTCGCCTCACGGATAATTTTGACGCGTCATTCGTACCTAATACCTACCAAGACTACAATAGCCGACAGCATCGGCGGAACTTCAGCCAAACTGGATCGTTCCGTGCCGCTTTCGATTACACTTCGCGTCTACACAATATGTCGGATCACGAAGCCGCCACATACACCCACGGCACGCCAAATCGGAACAGAAGACAGAGTTTCAACTTCACTTCTCCCGAGTCTAACCCCCCGAATGAGTTGGCGGAGGCATATCGGCAAATCGATGATGCGGGGAGCCTGGCCGACCTTGACCCTGACGATGAAGACTTCAACTTTTCGTTGCGTGACAGTCGCAGCAGACGCTCATCGTCAGCATCGCGACTGAGGGGAGACGATCTGTTTGCGGCTGCTGATGCGGATTTTTTAAATGAGTCGGACGACGGCCTCCGCCGAAAACTAGTCGACCATGTCGAAGATGAAAAGCGGTTGAGACGGGCCACATCCAGCCGGTCTCCTGTGCTGAGCAACGCAGGGACGCCAAACCCCCTCACATCGGAGAACTTGCAACGGCGCGAGGAAGAGGAAGAGCAGCAATATATGGAAGAAGAAGAAAACGATGGATTGAGACCCTCCTTAAATCTCCCGTCGACCTGGGGAAGCCGGGCAGCTCATCGCCGTGACTGGTTGAGAAAAATGACGCGGCGCACAGAGCTTCCAGAAAACCTAGCAATGAGGGCAAAGGAGACATCTCCCCCTAAGCTCAAGTTTGACAGAGACTCGCACATCAACCATACGGAACCGATCACTGTCGAAAGCACCACGCCGGCCGAACGTCCGTCAAATAGATACAACAGGATCCCATTGTCCGATGCGCAGAACAAGCTCTCCGAACAGAAAGCGGACAAGCTGACTGAAGGTAATCCGATACCGAATACGCCTATTGTGGTCTACAAGAACTCAACATTCACGAAGCGAAGCCCAACGAAGAGAGACTCGCAGGATCTACTTCGGAAACTATCGAGGACAGAGTCTCCAGGCCAACGGAACGAGCTTAAAACCCCGGAGGCCCAGAAATATCCCGAGAGACGCATCTACGACAAGACGCCTGTGGTGACGGGGGCATGGATCGATACACCGGTGACCGAACGGGTGGAACGGGTCAATGAGCTCCCAGAGCATCTCTCTCGGGATATAGTACCATCACCTCCGAGGAATGAAAGATTCGAGTCGTCGCTAGTGCCTTCGCATACCCGTCAAGCTTCACAATCACACGAATTCGAAGAAAGACGCTTAAGGGAAGAAAGAGAGAAAGAAAAGGAGCAGGAAGAGAAAAGACAGAAGGAGGAACAAGATAGGGAACAGAGACAAAAGGAGGAGAAGCAAAGGGAAGAAAAAGAACGGTTGGAAAAGGAGAGAGAAAAGGAGAAGGAGCTGAAGAATGCGGAAAGGCCGGATCGGGAGAAACAAGAGAATAAAGCTGAGCAGGGACAGCCGAGAAAATCGAGTGGATCGGCGAAGTCCAAGGAGAAAGCACCGCTGGTCAAGCCCGATCTGCCAAAGAGCGCTCTCGAGACAGTGTTGAAGGATTACAAGGACCACAAGGAGTCACTAGATGTCGGTGACGATACGATTGAGTCACTTCAGGACATCATCGACGGGCAGCCTGGTGAGCTAAAGACCGAGGATGAGGACGATGCTGCATACGAGAAGGAGATTTTGAAGAAGCTGGAACTTGCCAGTGCCGGGGATAAAGAAACAGTGGATCTGGATCGGCTGAATGACAAGCTAAAGTCGCTAGCGGACAACATCCAAAAGGTCAAAACAGGGTTGGACGGCTTGGAGGTCCAAGTATCGCGAGATGCGGATACGCTTGCCGCAATCCCGTCTCCCCTGAAGGGCAAACGAAGCAAGCAGCACGTCTGCGAAAATTGTAGCGGGGAAAGCGATGGTCGTGTTTACGCGTTGGTAACCCTTCCACGGCTATGGAGACGAAACCCTGTTTCCGGACGCATACGTCTTACGCGTTTAGGATGGTGCTCTCTCATCCTGCTCCTGTGGTTCTACTCCGAATCGACCATGTGCGATTTTTACTGCCACCCGTCCATCTCAGACACCTGCCAGGGAAACTGCCTCCTCCCGGATGCTCCCCGTTTCCCATACGTGATACCGACAATGCTCTGGCGCTGGCTTCACTTGTCTTCGATATTCACACCTCTTTGGACTATTGCTATCGCCTTTTCTAGGCTCATTGCACAGATGCTTGGCTTTTGGGACGGGTATGTGGAAGAAGAGCCTGTTCCGGTCAACCTGACCGGCGAGATCCGCATCCATGGTCGTGCGATCAATTTCCCAACAGCGGAAGCTACTTTTCGAAGCTTCTTCTCCCCGCCGAAGTTGTGGCCTGAGAAGGGACAGCCGGTTGTTCCACAGGCAGTTCCTGAGTTGAAGGTGGAAGTCGAGGATATGTCTGGCCGAGCATCCTCGTGGGATGACGATGGGTCTATGGACGATGATGAATATATTTAGGAGTTCGGTTTGTTTTGGGACTGATTAGGGCGTTTGGGATATTACTGGCGTTACTATGGATGGTGGTTGGGATCTATACCTAGGTGGATAATGGAGTATTGATTATAAGAACCAACATATATTGATATTGATCTCTACTCCTGATCTATATGTAAACACTAAACCCACTCTTATCTAAGGTTATCGCGATCTGCAAGGAGCCGCGGCTAGCTCTTCGCAGTTAGTGCATTGCTAGCTGCGGCATTCAATGCCTCCTTGCATTTGCAGTATAGTCTTCATCCCAATGTGAATATTGGCAGAAATTGAAGAATAGAAGGACTGATATAGTCAATATCAAAATTCACCCCTGGTAGGAAGTGATAGAAAGTCATTACTATAAAAGCCCCTTCTCCTTCTTTCATCATCTTCCTCTCCATTCTACTTAAGTATTAATTTTTACTCGACCGTAATCCCTCTCCAAGAGACACACATCTCAAATTATCTCAGAAGAAACCATATTCAAGCTATAGGTTATGGTATTATATTTCCATATAGTGGAATTAGACACCGAAGACATCTACCAAGCCAATACCCCACATTATACTATAAATCTACTACTATGGCTAACCAAGCCCACCCTTCAGAGCTATAACACAATCCAACCCTAATCAGTATCATACAGACACAGCTCTAATACGGAAACCCTCTGGGTTATCGGCAAAAACCCGCACGTGGTATTTCTCGGTATATAAATGCATCGAATATGCAGTATGGCGGCGGACTTGGTTCTCTGGGGAAGTAGTCACCAGATTCAAGGTCTGGAAACTCATCTTGTACTGGTGATGGGTGTCGTTCATTATGCTTGTAGGTCTCGTTACATCGACTCAACCTCCTCCAGCTCCATGGGGGCCGCGGGTGGGCTTTTGAAAACAACCGACACAGGAAGAAGAGGGGCGCCTATCACTGAGAAGTGGGCACTGAGGCATGCTGCGCGCCACTCCTTGGTCTGGAAGCAAGTACCGCTACAACCCTACACTCGGGTAAAACGGAAGAGTGTACGGGGTACTGGGAGAAGAAATTGAAGGTCTTTACAACAAACTTCTTCAGTGATAAAGTAGTGATGCATGTACATCTGGGAAGTGGTAGGATCACTTCCAGGAGAAGATAGATCAGATACCTCCCGGTCGACGAAGTAAGATCGAGTACAGCCCAGGAGCCGGACAAAGGCAAGCACAACGCAAGCGGGCACAAAATACGAGCGACGCAGTTATCACAGAAGGAGACCACCGGTGGCTCACTGATATATTGACTGGCCATTAGATCGTCCTACTTATAAGACAGACTGGGCATTTGACATTTATGACCCGTTTTGTGGACCAATTGAAACACTGCCTCAATTCAGGAGATGCTCCTCGCCCATAGTGCATCGAACATGGCTTATGGCGTGGATTTTTTTTTTTTTTTTTGGTTTACACTGGCTAGGGGAGTCAGCATCAAGATAGGTTAATTCTTGTGCTCGCTGTCGTATAGTACCGCATGTCGCATAATCGAACGATCCCCAGAATTTTGTTCTCTATAAGGGCAGTGATACTCCATATAGGATTTCAGCTCTGACAAATGCCTCTACCATGGCTGTCTGGGAAGATATGTTAGCTTATGACGGGTTGCTCGATTGACTGTCGACAGTGATAAAGCTTCCGCGGCGAACTTTCCTTGACTACCTATATCCTTGAGACCATAAAAAGTACATGGAAATGATACGAAGATCACTAATTTGCAAATTGTCATGAGATATGTCACTAATTGGTTAAGCGACAGACAGGTTCTACGTCTTGAACGTTAGACAAGGAGCTATGAACGGGACAATAACTGGTCGGCGCAGCATACAATCCGTTCTATATTATCTGTTTTGCCGTACTTGCCTGCTGATATCCTGGGACTATGAAGAGACAAGATTCTCTACTTGATGGCACAACTCTTGTCGATTGTCCTACTAAATGGTCAAAGTTACCTTCGAAACCCTCTACGCTAATCGACCTATTATAGAAGCCAGAAGTACGTTAAATAAATGCACGACCAGATCGCTGTATCCGTCTTAGTCCTACTTCAGATGCACGCAAGACTATATATAAATTTGGGGGTTTCTGGTTGATACTGACCGCGATGTCTGGGTCAAACATAAACACGGTGTCGTTGCATCAGAGATCTACAATAGATCTATACTACTCCTACGACTGTATCCAATTGACAATATCCTGGTGTGAGAAACCGGTACTGACCATGACATCTTTCTTGGGGGAAAGGCTGATTGTGGGTTTGATTGCCGCGAAGAAACAGAGAAAACGGAGATGCTGGAAGCTGTCTAGGGAAAAGTGGAGTGTTTGGTTGGCGTTGAAGATGATAGAGAACTCATACTAGAATCGTCCTGGTTAGGCTTCATCAGCATCGAAGCGAGCATGCCTTCCGCCGCAGTGGTAGAATCCCTTGGAGCTGTTAGACGCCATGAGTGGATTGCCTGTGTTCGCCCAATACTGAAGAACAAGACAACGGTCGAGAAGCCGGCTGTAAAGGCCTTTTACAGCCGGACAGGCAAAACCATGGAGCAAAAGTATCAATGAGTGATGGGGATGTGAATGAGATACAACTGGATACCGGCAGCCTGGAGTGGCTGCTGCGGGGCGCACCAAAGATGCGCGTGATGCTGTGGTAGTGGTGGATATGTTCAGAAGGGAGCAGCGAAAGGAAATTGATGTGTTGTAATAACTACTGAGTTACTTTGACCAAGTCGTAGTCCTCAATGATAAAGTCGCCATGGATTTTATGGTTTTGATAATAGCTTAGACCTGAGATTAGGGTTGATTATGCGCTTTGATATCTAATTATGATAGATCACAAAATCGATACGGTGCTGATGAAAGTATATCTATGTAGCTATCGTATGCATGTACATCTGTCTAGCAAGCATATACATAAAGCAAGTCTATAAACAAGCAGGGTATAGCAAATCAAGCCCCAAACGCCATTTTTATAGCATATCTCCGTTCAAAAAGAATTAAAGCTTCGCCTTCTCTACCCACTCCTGTTCCAGTAGTTTCTCTCCCTCCAACCGCCACTGCTTACCCCTCTCCAGAACTGTATCCACTTCTTCATCCGTCAAAGGAACGGCGCTCTCAAGCGGTATCTCACGAATCGACTGTAACTTATACCCAATGAAGGTAATCTTCGCCGGAGTAGGGGTATCCGCAGTAATCTTGCCAGCCACGACATCACGACAGAACTGCGCCGTGCCGTCCAAGAAGCGACGAGACGTAGGCGTCCCCATCATAACCTGTCCAAAGCAATGCGGCATGCCTTCGAATTGCTCAACAACGACAGGGACGCCAACCCGGTGCATCTTGCGGGCGACAACGAGTCCCTCATCCGTGAGACCTTCTTCTCCCATGGCGATGAACACCGGAGGCGCGCCTTTCCAAATTTCATCGCGGCCCGCCAGCGGGCTGACGAGCGGGTGCAAAAGGGCGCTGGCGTTGGCGTAGAGGTCCACACGAGGTGGCTTGACGGGCCAGACATCGTCCTCGGGCACAGCAAGTGGGCGGTAGGCTGTTTCGGGATCCTGGGTGGGGGGACTCAGGAAGTCGTAGACCGAGTTGTGGTGGACGGAGGGCATAGAGCGAGTGATGTCGCACCAGGGGGAACTGATGGCTAGGCCGGCAGGAAGTTCGATAGGGACATCACGTCCATGAAAGCGGACGGTAGGGCAGACGCGACGGAGTGTGAGGAGCGTTTGGAGCAAAACAAGACAAAGGTTACCTCCGGCTGAATCACCGGAGACAATGATCTTGTTCGGCGCGACGGGCTCGTGGAGAGAGCCCGGAGGCGGAGAGACGAGCGATAGGTATGCAGTAAGGGCATCGACAAGAGCAGCAGGGAACGGGTTCTGAGGGGCAAGACGGTAGCGCACCGATAGAACACGGGCACTGGTTCGTTTCGACAGCTGAGCGACGAGCGGGCGATGGGTGCATGGGTCGCAAAGGCTAAACATCGAAGACGTCAGAATTCGGAGATTCCAGACAGCATCAAGGGCAACTTACAAGTAAGCTCCTCCATGGAGATACAGAATCACCATATCCTCCTTCGACTCCTTCTTCAGCTCCTCATATTTGGCTTCTTCCGAAATATCCGGCTGCGGCGCATTCTTGTGCACACCACTGCGATATCCTGTCCACTCTGCCTCAAGCGGAATTACTCCAGGGATATTATATGTCTCATCTCCTGTCTTCAGGGCCTCAATGGCCTTGACGACTGCGTCCTGGACATCCGCTTCTGGTTTGGGAAAGGTCACTTTGGACACCCACATGGGACCCTTGATACCGGGGTCGCGCATGCTGTCTCTTTGCTGCTTGCCCACGGGCGAGGTAAAAACGAGGAATGAGCGAATGATGGCGACGGTTAACTCAGTGCGCAAATCTTGTTTCCCCGTGACTGGCGAGAGACGAATGGCATGTAGGAGAATGGTCTTGAGAACGAGGGGGACTCGCACGAGGATTGCCGCCAACAGGCTGACAGGGTTGCTTAATTTGCTCATGGTGGCAAACTGTAACTTGCAGATGAAGAACGCAAAAACAAAAAAGAGTGATATCGACTCCCGGGGAATAACGACAAATAACTAAAAGACCTATCCCTAACGGGAAAAGAAAGTCGAACGGGCAATGATTGTAGATGGGGAAAGAAAGAAAAAGCAAAGGGGGCAAAAGTAAGACAAATTGAGGAGAGCCGAAAAGGGCAATGAAGCGAGACCCAGAAAAAAGCCTCGGTTCAACAAGATGGATGGAGACGATGGGTCCGCATGACGCAGGCACACCCGGACACTGGCAATTCCGTCGCCGTAGAGAATGATGATGGAAAATACATGTTAGACTGATTCCACCATCTCTGTTTACAAGATAGGTTATTCAGGGCTATACTGTTCTTCTTCCGACCCATGGATAACAAAACTAGAACATAACCTTCTGTACCCCAGATTCCCTTTGGGTGGCGTGGCGTAATCTGCCGCACGTTCTACTACTAAGCACTAAGCAAGCCTGACGAATCTTATCTCATCAGCCAAAAATACACTCCACTTTTTGCTTTAGATCGTTCATTCCAATGCATTAACTATGAATATAATAGTACAGGTTTATGATTCCCCATCTTTGATTGTTTCATGCAGGTCGTCAAGCGTGCGTTTAGTGTCTCCACCTGGGGTCCCGTTTAAAACCGTCCAGCAGTTTCCTTGGCCTTACCCTTGACCTCTCCAGCGGCCTCCTTTGCCTTGCCCTTGGCAGTACCGAGTGCCTCCTCGGCCTTGCCCTTACCCTGGCCAGCCACTTGAGATGCCTCACCAGACAGTTCGTCGGTCTTGGCCTTGGCCTCAGCGGTGGTGCTGCCAACGGTGCTCTTAACCTTTTCAGCGGCGTTTTCTGCACATCATGATGAGCGAGGGATCCCGTGCAACAGGGTATTGGTGATCTAAATACCTCCTACTTCAATGCCCTTCACAGCGGCATCCGAAACCTTGCGGTCGGCCTTCTTCAGGGTGTCCTTGGTGGCATCGATGGGTCCCTTGTCACGACGGGCAGTGGCGGAGATCGAGCGGGTGGCACCCACGGAGAATACGGGAGTAGTCGCAGGTCGGAGAGACAGCGTAGATGTGCGAGCAGCGGGGGCAATGCGGGTGAGGAAAGACATGGTGGCTTGTAAGGTATTCAAGTTGATGGGATTGAGGATGGAAAATTGTAGAGGTCAGAAGTAGATGTTCTGGATCAGAATGTTCAAATAGACTGGTTTCTTAGTCAATGTTCGAATTACCAAAAGGCTACCTCCATGATGCTGGCACTGACAATCTTTATAGCTGGTTGAGCTGCTGGAAGACGTCATCACCACAGGCGGCCAGGTTATGTATCTCTTACGTCGATGGGCTGTCACTGCAAGTCCCGATTGGGGTTAGCGTTGATCGTGACCAAGGCGCGCTTTGGTTCCCGCCCGATCCACCCCAAACCCAGTCCAACTGCCGTCGCGATCGTCCTCTAGTGCATCCTTCCCCTGGTCGGTAGCCCCGCTGGCTGTTGCGCTCACAGCTCTCAACATAGCGCAACAGCCAGCGGGTACTATCTCATGCAAGAGCATGCTGAAGCCCTGATCAGTCTCCTCAAGGATCACGAGAATGAACAAGAAAAAATGTGACGAAAAACTCAGACAGAAATTCAGTTGTTAAGTCGCGTTATCCGATTAACACTAACAAACGCCAATGCAATGCTCCCACCTGTATTGTGATATCCTTCTTCTACCAACACCTCTAGATGCTACCACCCTTCTTCCTAATCTTCTGCTCCAAGAATGCATGGCCATAAAATCCTGAACAGAACTCCGAAACACCGGGTGCTTGTGCTGTCCCCTAATTAATCCGTCACATCATTATCATCATGGTTCGTCACTTTCAATTTTTTTTATATGTTTTCCCCTTTCTTCAGTTTGCCCTTTTCATTGTTTCACCTGCATCCTTATGCTTGTATGTGTTTTTGATTTTACTCACAGAATACCCGTTTCTGTCTCATCGATCATTGACTCATGCTAAATCCGTCAAAGTCAGGGCGAGGGGGTGAGCTGCCGCTCCGCGCTCGCAGTCCATGGGACTCCGCCACTGGAATTGCCATCTCGTGCGGGATCAAGGGCCCAGACAAATTTGGGTGGTACATGGGATACCCTGGAATTGCCGGTGGCAGGTGTGCGGGATAGTGAACACGTCCACCCAGCCGCTGCCGGGCGTCACGCACATCCACACGGTGAGCCCCGAAATGCAGTGACGACGCGGGCTCGGCCGCCCATAAAGGGTCCATAGCAGCGACCTGGCCATCCAGTGTATTGATCGGTCGGATTTGTGCTTGTGCGGCGTAAGCTACCTCTGGCTTACGAGGACTTACCACCGGTGGTGGCTGCCCCTGTTGTGGCATTTCCGCAACCCAGCTTCCTGTTCCGGATAGCGTGTGCTGAGGTGGCATAACTTGCGGAACGCCACTAGCTATGGCAGACTGCGCGGGCGTTGTAGTTGGAAGTGGAGAGAAGCGCGGCGGGTACCGAATCGGCTCAGTTGACCAGGACTGGTGAGACTGCGCGGATTGGTTTCGCGACATCGGCTCCGGAGCTGGCTCCGAGGAATACCCAAGAAGGGGGTCGGTAGCGAGAGAGCTCGGAGGTGAGATTCCTGGCATGAATGCAGATGGGTGAGCGACTGGCCTCGTCTGACTCGGTGATGGTCCCATGGAGCTTGGTTGGGCCACACCCACACGTCGTGGTACCGTAACCTCGATATTCCCTTCATATGGCAGTGGAGGGGGTGGAGGGATATACGTTAAGATCGACGGTGTACTGGCGGACATGTCACCCACCGGAGGTGCTATTGATCGCACAGTAGACAAGTGACGGGTCCGGTACTGAGACTCCTGTGCTATCCCCAGATCTAGGGCATTGAGCTGATGTTGCAGGTATCCTTGATCAGGCTCGCTATAGGTTGACTGGGTCATACGATCAGGCTTGAACTCTGCTGAAAGGGGCGATGGATGTGCATTGCTAGAACGACTCTGCAGCGACTCGCCCGATGATTTGTTCTGCAGTGACAGAAGCGCCGGTCTACCATTACCTCCTGGTGTTGACGATGATCGCTTCTTTGAGGGCAACTCTCCATCCTGAGTAAGCCTGGCTGCCACCGTGGCATAGGTTGGGGTATTCTCCTTTTCCAAAGATGACCGACCAGTCGCTCGCTTCGTGATGGCTGTGATATCCTCATGGGAGTGCGGAGGACTGGAGTGCTGCACAGCTGTGAGTGCCTCTGACGCGGAGGCAAACGAGCTTCTCCGACTTTTACCCAACGTGCTGCTGGAAGCGCTTCTCCCCTCGACAGGAAATATTTTCAAGACTGGAGCTGCCAGCTGGGAGCCTCTGATGTTACGGGGAAATCTCGGCCGCTGCACTGATCTTTCATCCTTTCTTATCCTAGTTTTCGAATGCTTCTTTACGACCATGTGCCAGCCATGATCGTCGATAGGCGGCGAAGAACTGGACGTCAGCGATGACTTGGGCGTCTCTGCTTGCTGACTCTGTTGTGAAAGCGCTGGTGAGGTACGGATCGGAGCATTGGTGCTTTCTCTGTCACTCTCGTATCCACCGTCTCTGTCCAGGCTGGATTCCCTGAAAATATGGGGCAAGAATGGCTTGAGGTTGAAGCGTTGCTGAGATCTTGGCAATTCTTGTGGCGATTCTACTTTGGGAGGCGTCATGTCGCTCCAATCCCAACGCCCCTCCTCGGCTGCTGATTCAGGTACTGACGACGAAGAGCTGCTTGACCGATCAAAGACTGATCTCTGTTTGCGGACCGATTCTTGCGAGGAGCTGGGCGAGATTCTCTCGATTTCGCTGGAAATACTCTTCATGATTCGCTTCAGATCATCACGAGCCTCACGAAGTACTGCAGGTTCATTCTGGCTTCTTCTGGGCCAGTTTTCGATCAGTCTAAAAGCCTGCGTTTCATATTCCCGGTAGTCTTTGACCATTCCGCAGTCATCAATACGGTCCATTCGAGCCTTTGCACTTTCGTACGATGTGCAAAGAACATGGGTAGCGACAACCAGCCACGAGTCATAGAAACCAGCCTCAGACTTTCCCGCCTGTGCATTGCACCGCTTCTCTTCCCGGTCCATGATCTTGAGCTCATCTCTGCAGAAACCTTGGACGACACTGTGGGTCTTGATCATATCGATTGTCCCCGCGCCTGAATTTTGATAAACCGAAAAGAACGCATCCTGGCTACTTTCTGTCTGCGACTCCGATAAGTCAGGGGCCACAGACTTCATGTCTAGAACATTATCTTTCTCAAGCTGTGGCGAGAGAGCTTTTGCGTGCAGTGCATAAGCGTCCGACACCCTCTCGATCAGTCCGTATCTAATGAGGACCCCAAGAGTGGTGTCGATGTCGCCTCTCTCACCGGGTCTACTGCTTGTTAGAATGTCAACATTCCATCTGCCGAGTGCGGAAATTCCGAGTGTTATAAGGCCGACGGGGACATGATGACTGAAGAAAGATACAAGGTTGATCAAATTCAGGGCCTCAAAGTGCTCCGTGCGATAGAGGTCGTGCATGATGCTTAGAAAAGGCTCTGCCAGCTTCTCGTCGGTTAAATGAGAGTTGATGTGGTACCTCTCAATTGGCTTCGATGTTGCTGCCAGCCGATGACTGATGGCATGTATTGCCAGAGGAAGGCATTCATAATGCTCGACAAGCGCAGTGGCTTTGTGGATTTGCCCCTTGGTGGGTCTCCTGATGCCAAGGTCTTCGAAGAGTAATTTGCAGGCTTCCGTAACCTCTAGAGGCTTGACTGAGAGGCAGAACGGCTCATACAGGCGCTGCTTTTTCCTCAGTGTCTTATCGACCGAGGTGTAGATAATGCTACACTTCTTATTAAACGGCAAGAATTGCTTGAAGTCGTTAAGATCACTGTCTTGACCGAAGCTTACCCCATCGAACACCAGAAGCCATTCTTCGCGAGCTTGCAGCCAGTTTCGCACCGAATCGACATACTTCTGTGACGTATTAGTGTCTGGATATTCGAATACTTCTCCCTCGTTCAGTGCGGCAGCCTGTGCGATATCCCAGAAGCATTTGAAAGTTGATTGGCGGGACTTTGCGTCGACCCAGAAGACTCCGCCAGGATAGAAGGCTCTATGAGTCCAAACATACTGGCGTGCAAGATGCGACTTGCCTGTCCCTGGGCCTCCGCAGATGAGTACAGCCACGAGCCGCTCTGCTCTCTTTTTGGCTTTGTACAGCCTGGTGTGCAATTGGTCAAGATGGGCCTTCATCCCTACAAAACTTGCGTTTGGGTGAAAGCCGGGAGGCACCACGAACAAAGGGTCCTTTGGGAGGGTCTGTGATAGGGACAAGTTGATGCTATCGCCGAGATCAGACACAAGGGATCTTCTTCTCTCAGCCGGCAGGGCCATTTCAGAACTACCTAAGAAGGAAAGAGTCAGCCTTATCTGACTTGACAATTTGTTGATAGGAAAGCAACACTAAAGTACAGGAAGCAGGTATCATAGCATAAAAGGCAGATCATGAACCATCATACATCTCAGAGAATTTGCGAGAAATCAAGAAGAGCATAATAGGAATGAGAAAAGTGGAAACACATAAGTTACTGAAAAGTGGACATGACGTGTTTCGCCTGGTTTTGTGCTTTTTGGCAGTTCCTTCAATAATGATCGCCAATCACACCCGCGAAGCACCGGCTAAACATGCCTGCTATGATGAACTGATGACTCCGGGGGCTCCTCAATCTCATACTCGCGCAGTGTGACAGAAGACGAATGATCAGAAAGCAGAGGTGTCCTACCAATTGTGCGAAGATCTGGAACACTCCTCCCCAACTGCTCCGGCTCAATCCGATCTACATCCGTTAGTGCTTGCCTTGAGAGGGAAAAGGGGCTCTACATGCCATGGCTGAATATCTCCCTGATCTTTGTTTGCTTCTGAACACGCCGGGTCTTGTCCTCTTCGACCCAGCGGTCTGCGATAGTGTTCGGGGCATCGCGCGAGTACCGCAACAGCGCCTCAGCAACCGCTTCATAGCCAGGAGAGTTGTCATCATCGAACTTGCACATGTGTCTGTGGTCAGCTTCGATGCCCATACGTTCGACACCTTCAGCGTAGGGTGCGGCGGAACTTTCGTCCACGATCAACTCGCGTGTCCCTTTGACATCACTCGACAGTGTCTCGTGGAAGAAATAAATGTGGAACCGGCTGGTTATGTCGGCGAAGAGGCTGTTGATGTTTTGAAGCGTCTCGTTGTTGGTCTTCAAAGCCTTTACCAGATGAGGAGACGACTCCATGAACTTCTTCGGCATAACGACACTACAGATGTTCTGCAACAGCAGACCCCATTTGGCAACGTCCGAACCGTTGTGCGGTGTTCCTAGGAACAGGATCCCGTAGGTGGAGACATAGATGGATCGCAGGTGCTCGATCTTTTCATTTGACACATTTCGGCAGTATATCAGTGTGCGCTTGACGACGAGACCACCGAGCGAGTGGCAGACGAAGATGATCGGTCTGTCAGAACAGCTTCGAAGCTAGAAAAGTCAGTTAGTCACCCTTCTCCAAGAAGGAGGAACAATGGACGCGGATCACAAACGACCACTTACATTGCGGTTGGCTGCCAATCCCGACGCCAGGGTTTCGGCATGATTATGGATTCTGTCCTTCGACGCGCCGTCGGTGAAGGCAGTTACATTCGCGTTATAACCATAAGTCAAGATCCTTACTCGGTTCGGACCAAGAATTTCAGGCAAAAGATCGGCTGGCCAAAAGGTGCCGTTACTTGAGGCCCAGGTGTTGTAGGGATGGCCGTTCAGTCCATGAACAAACACGATGTCGACCAGAGGCTTTTCGGGGCTACAGTAGACCTGGGTCAACCCGTACTGCTTCACGCGCGAGGCAAGGTCCGACATGGCTCGAACTGCCCACAACTGGACGTCGACCGTAGCTGATGGCGATGAAAAGGAGATGCGAGTCAGCCAGACTACCAGACTGAGGACATAAAGCGGAGCGTGGGGTAGCTTATTCCTTACATTCACGCAGCAAGATTTCCTGAAAAGGAAGGCTAGAACGAGACGATTGCGACCATGCACGAAAGAAGCTCTGTCGGTTCCAACGAACTAGTGGAGCTAGGAAGAAGACAGTTTTATAAAAAGAAAAAGCGGCTTGAAGGATGGAAAAGGGGGGGAAAGAACAACAGGTCAGTTGAGTCACTGAAGAAAAAGAATCAACGGGGCAGCTGAAAGAAAGGTATTTATGCGGCGACGAGTATTACTTGCAGAAAGAGTGAGTGGGCGGCAGTGGGGGGGCCAAAGTAGGCAAAGGCGCGAGACAGCGTCAGAAACAGAGAGCATGAGGCTCGCAGATGACTGGGGCAAACTGGAGGTGGAGGGGGTGCCTGGTGCCTGTGGTTCAACTGTTTAGTTTAGTGCAGTGCAGTTACTACTAGTTCTGCAGGGCACAAGCTACAGTACGCAGCGAGCAACAACAGCAGCAGGCCCGGAACCATAAGCAGAGTGAATTAATTACTCAATCAATTAATGGAGTTCTTATTTCTTTTTTTCCGTCTCGAAGTCAGTCAATTATCCTTTTTGCTACATCTATTTTCTGTATCCGGAGGACGTGCTGAGGGAAGTAGCAGTCAAGGTTCCCGTGGACATCAGGGGGGCTGACCAACTAGAGGTCATGCCGCCCGCCTCGCTGACCAGGAAGATCGAAGCTCACCTGCAGATCGCGGGGGAACTTGCATCCTGACTTGACTGGTATATTCGTTCTATTATATTCTAACATCAACTAATTAAGAAAGTAAGAAAGAAGGGTCTCGAAGTCCAGCCCATTCTATCCCGAATCTGCAACGTAGATGATATTATCATCCCATCTCGCATACAATCTAGAACCGCCCATGTATTTCCCCATCTACTATGTTATTCGAGCACAGATACTGTCAAACCTCTCCCAAGAAATACCAAAACTTTACTAAACTGAAACCGCATCATCCCCTGAAGTGGCTGTGAGCTCTGACGCCCGAACACGGCTTAGTCCTAAACTTAGTTTCTGCAGCCTGGGCAAGAAGGATGACTTTAGTTCAATCAGGTTTAGTTTGACTAGAATAGAATAGGCAGTCCATCAGGCTGAATTTAATCACCCACTGAGCCCTATGCGACTTGTGGTGCGACATTAATTACTACTTTTCGAAAAGTACCTAAGTTTTCTTCAGTGTTCGAATATGTTCCTTCATTAGCTGCTGCTTCTGCTGCTGCCCGGGGGATTTGCCTGTCGATCTGCGTTGCCCTGCGCAGGGCTGTGCTCTGGGCTGCACGTGTGTATGTATGTCTGTATGTATGTATTGCTTACATGTACCTACTTACATTTATTGTAGTTCCTGAAGAGTTATACATAGTAGTTGTTGGTTACCGTGGCCTCTTCATTTTCAATGCGATACGAACAGGATGAAATGAATCTGAAGTACGAGGCTGAGGCTTTGCTTCGCTTTGCTTTTTTCGAGCCTCAGGATGCTTGCGAATGGCGGCTGCCTGGGACTAGCTAGAATTCTGTGTTACTGCGTGATATTTATAATGAACTCGATCAATGTCACTCCAAGTTAAAGTGTGTATCTGATCTACAAGAGCACACAATATCCTTTCAATCCAGATAGATGTAGCACAAAACAGTCAATGCCGTGAAAAGAAAGCTGCCAGTGGATCAAGCGGGTCCAACAGCCGCGGATGGATCCAGGGTTCAACTACCTAACGTATTCTCCCTTCCCGATCGGCAACCTATTGTAGACCTTTTTAGGTAGCTAGCTAGTAGGCTGATGGATGATGAGGATGGGTGATACGTACGTCCATGACGAACAGTTCGTGCCCGCGGATTCAATATCCTGGGATGGGTCTGGAATGTTTATCCGAGATGCGTCAGTGAGAATATTTCCAGGTGAGTCAGAGTTTTGTGTAACTGCTTCTGACTTATTTCTAATCTGGTTGACTCTACGTCCTGGGCATGTTATGGAAGTGGTGTTAGATGGTTCGTATAGCTGTTCCTATGGCTGGCTTTGTGGCTGGTGGTCGGAGGTATGGGTTTAAACATGAAATATGGAAGTGTGTATGAGGATGTTTGCGAGCTGGTTGTGCTAAGTCTTAGGATTGTAGAGTAGTTATGTTGTGGCAATTGTGTAGTGAGATCATGAGGGATATGGGTGGGAAACAATGCCCTTTGTTGCATTGGCCTATTGAATGTAGGTCCCTGATTTATTATCAACAATTAGAATTACCAACTCAGACAATGTCTGGATTTTCAAGCTTAGGGCTCTATGACAGGCAAGCAGGCTTTTGCCTGTAGCTTCGGCCCTGGTACCTTGATACTACTACCAAAACATGTACAGTTTCCGTATCCAGGGCACCCAGGTACTAATCAAAAGCAACACAATACATTGATTCACAAAGAACTGGTTCTAGAATCCTTCAGCACTCCGATCCGTCTAACCTGAGTCACAAGATTCCCTGGTCGTCCCTTAGCTTACATCCGTAATGGGGCAACACAAATTTCCAGATGACTCTTTCATCGCCCCCTGAAGACGGGCTTCCGCTTTTCCGCGAACGCCCTGAGAGCCTCAAACCGATCTTCGGTGCCCATCACGCCGTCGTACGCCTCATTTTCAGCCTCCTCGCCCCGTTGATACTCACTCACAGCCTTCAAGGCCTGCTTGATGGCAATTGGCCCGCCCTCACAGATCTCCAGCGCCAGCTTGATACTTTCCGTGAGGACCTTCTCCCTCGCCACACCCTCCTTTCCTTCCTCTTCCGGGAGCACCTCCACAAGCCGATCGCATAGGCCGATGAAATACGACTCCGGGCCGGATACGCGCCGTCCAGTGAGAATAAGGTCCCGTGCACGGTTCACGCCAATCAGACTGGGGAGGCGATAGGTACCTCCAGCCCCAGGAATAATGGCCAACCTTGTCTCGGGAAGTCCGACCATACACGAGGAGCCGAAGACGCGAAGATGTGTGCTTAGAGCAAGTTCAAGGCCGCCGCCCAGCGCCATAGAGGAAACGGCGGAGATGGTGGGAATGGGGAGCTCCGAGAGGTTGCGGAAGGTGCTTCGCAGATTGTATAAGAATTCGGCTGTTCTAAGCCATGGCAATTGCAACGGTCAGTAGTTTGTGATGGGGTTTGGGGAACTGGAGGGCCGCGTACTCTTCCCGGCTCATGCCCGCACGTTCCTTGAGATCTGCGCCCGCGCAGAAGGCCGAGTCGACGTTGCTGCCGATGACCAGAGCACGCGTTGGCCCTGAGCCTCCTTCAGCGGCAATAGATTTAACATTCCTGGCAAGCCCGTCGAGGAGATCGCGAGAGATTGCGTTGCGTGCCTTGGGCCGGTTCAAAAGCAGGACGCGAATGTTCCCCGACCCTGGGGCGGGAACGTGCTGGGTCTGGATGACGGCATTGTCGCTGCTCGTGCTAAATCTGGCGACCGTGACGCGGTAGGAGAAAGTGGATCGTAACGGAGTATATATAGAGAGACGTTGAGGCATTGTTGTTATTTTAGGAGTGAAGGGTATAGTTATTTAGCAAGGGATGATGAGGATGGACAAGCTGTGAGCTCTGAGCTCGGGTTGAGGAGAATTGAGCAGTGCTTGAGGGCCGCTGTGGGGAAAGCCGGGCGGCTGCGGGGAAGCCGCGGATAAGCGCTTGATAGAAATAATATAATTAATTCGCTCTATTTTACAGTTCTATTTACACTAATGTACAGCATGCCTATATCGATCGCCGGCCTCGCGAGATCCTTGCTCCCCGTGAGCTATATAATCCAAGACCTCCTCATCACTCGGCCATGAACCCCAGACTTGCGAAGTAGTGATGATATCATATGCCTCCTGCAGGCTGGCGTCGGAGAATGTCGCGGAGTCAGCTTCGGAGTCGTTGTGCATGTGCACATCATGTGTGTGCTCCATGGACGGCTCCCACTCCCGGAACGCCTGGGGTGACCTTCCCCAGTATCCCTCCAGAAACATGCGGACGGCGACGATGATCCGCCGCATCATCTTCTCGCCATTCAGGTTCTCGTCATACTTTTCCTTCAGTGTAGTCTCGTACTGCCGCATCCAGCGAAGTAGACTCAGCAGGCCGTCAGTGTCCTCGGCTAAGCCCAACGCCCGCACAAAGGAGTGAAGAACTGCGGGAGAGGGAACGTGAACCAAAGATGGCACGGTCACTTGAGAAGCAGTGGCATGCTGGATTGACGATCTACTTCGCTCGAACAGGGAAGAAGTCTTGGGGTCAAGGAGAACCAGCTCATCAAACCGGGATTTGAGGATGTTGAGCCCACTCTGCACCATATCCTCGAAGCGTGTCGAAGCATGATTCATGCCGGTCAGTCGCCCTCGCCGTGCCAGTTCGCTGACGATAACAAGCCCTTCTTCCACCGCGTCGGGCTCTTTGATTCCCGCCACCACTACCCGTGAAAAGCTGTAGCAGAGAACCTGGAACGCTTCCAAGCTAGGCTCGATTTGACGCTTAGCCATCCACGCTGTGAGCTCCAAGACCTCGTACCAGGATAGTACCAACCGTGCGTGCCGTCCCAATCTATGAGATGTGGACCCAACGCGGTCTCGGGCCAGGGCAGACATGACTGGAATCCACGCCTGAGGGGAACGCGACTGTTGCGCCTGGAGAAGACTAAGTGCATGCGCTAGAATTTTCGGGTGACGAAGATCCTCGCTTGTCTTCAACTCTTCGGAGTATGCAAAAAGCGTAGTCGAGTACGAAGGATTAGTTGAATGGCGGCCCAGGAGTATCGGGAACATATCTCCCACAGAACTTTCACAGTGCGCCGTGCTATGATGCCCGACAGTCGAGAAATTGCACAGGAACGCGACGAAGGATGAGATAAGGTAGTCAGGAAAACTGTTCAATGTCTTGTTCGCCTGAGCTTGTTCGCCCCATCCTTGACCTGACACGGTGCATAAATCCTCTAACTGCTCCTTTGTCAAGTCACTGCAACGAAGGTAGTCTAAACCTGATCCGAAGGTCGGTGCATTGCGCAGAAGCAAAGCTAGGAATCTTCCCCGGGGCCGGATACCCTGCGAGAGCATTTCACGGAGAAAATCATCTAATGTGGGCGGTTCCGTAGAGACATAGATCCAATCTCGGACAGATGACGGCTCCGCGAAGACCTCTTTTCCGTCACCTGGTAGTGCTTGACTGCTTCGATGAGAGTTATTGCGGGCTCTCTTTTGTCGGAAGATCAATTTCTCAGCCATGGCAGCGTAAATGGCACCACGTGGAGGCAGTCCCTGGTCGCGGTAGGAGAGGAAGCATGCCCAGGCTTCCCGCACCGTCCTCGTAGCCCGGATCCGAGCTACCCAAATGGCGTGGTGTTTGGGATCCCCGGAAGGCCCTTGTACAGTCTCCGGGCGAGGTACTAATGACCTCGTTTGAATTGTTGGGCTTTTGTCTGTGTCCCAGCCTGCTAGGATACTAGATACCTCTTCCCAGCGAGATTGCGAATAGCCCGCCTCTTTCATTTGTGACAGTACCCGCATTGCGCGGCTTTTCATGCCCTCAACACCCCGCTTGACATCGAAGCCTATCTTGTCTTCCTTCCAAGGGGGCCACGACGGAGCTTTCAGTTCCGCAGATTGCCGTTCTGCCAGTGTCTTCTTATGAGCAATTTGAACCGCGACAATACCCTGGTATCCACGACGTGTCACCGGCAAAGCAGGTTGGTGTCGCGCCATGGCTCGAAGAAGCTCAAATTGCGCTTGTTGCTGCAGGGAGGCGGACGTAAACGGGTTGTGCCTGCAGGGTAAGGAAAGTATTCGAAGCACGGTATTGAACTTGTCGGCCATAAACTGATTGATTCGTTCTGTCGCGACCGTCCAACCTTTGCCTTCGCTCTCAAGACTATCCAGATAAAACGCAAAGGCGCGAGCAATAGTAAGCTGGGCCTGTGGCCATAGCTCGCGAGCGTGATGAAGTAACCGAATCACATAAGTCACGCACATGTTGGGTTCTATCAGTGGCTTCGCGAGCACATCCTGCTGGACAAGCTCTACATCATCGGTCATCGCTTCCATCGCCATGCCGGGTGTCGGAAGAGCTCGTCCGCCCAAAAGGTGCAACGAATAAACCAAAAGCAGTCGGAAAGCCTTAGCGTCCAGACTCTGACGCAGGAGAAGGAGGGGAATGAAAGGGGGCACCATCTTGATCGAGCAATCGGGACTTGAGCTTCGATCTGCTTCTAAGAGTAGAACTCGAAGAATGGCTTCATAAGGCGTGCTGCTCTTGAGAACCCATGCCCATGCCACCACATCAGCGGCGGAGTACTGTCGGGCTGCGAGGTAGTTGAGGTTATCTTCGCTGAAAACTGATTGCAGGGCTTCCGATTCCAGTGGTGAATCAGACTCCATGCCCGAGTTTGCTTGATCCGAAAGGGGATCCAACAGCTCTATGTAATCAGCGACAATTCTCTGTAATGAAAGCCGGTGGTAGCGTTTGAAATTGTCCCGTTGCCTTTGTGTTAGAGAGGTCATGATTCCAGTGTTCTTGGTATTGTAAACCCAGCTGCAGCTTTCCGCGCCATGAGACTGATGCACTCTTTGCAAGGTGTCAATAAGGTACTCCGTAGGAGTTGGCCCAGGGTGTGAATCGCTTCTCTTGGTTCGTTTGCGTGAGTTGGGCATTTTGTTCTCCGGCCGTAGGTGTTTATGTCTTCCTGGTCCATCCGACAATGGTTCTGTGTGTCTAGTCAAGCGAAGAGGCTTGGAATGGACGTCTGTGCTGTCGGGCTGGCTCGCGCTCTGTTCTCGGCCTCCACCTTCTCCCAAAGCCTTGCTTTCCTCCCCAATCTCGGTTTCCTGATTGACATGTATATCACCATCTTCACCATCCTTTTGAAGTACAGCTTCATCTCTCAGTTCTCCCCCTGACTCTCTGACGTCTACAGCTCTCAGGCCGGGCAAGTCCGGGCCCGCACCCGAAACATTGTAGGACTGACTTAGCGGGGGTTGGAGACGTAACTTAAACCAGTCATTACCGGGACTACCATCGCCTTTAGTGTCTGACTGTTCCGTCGCCAATTGCTGATTTTGGACGTATCCAGACCGGAGATGGTCCGGGCCTCCGAGTACGCTTAAGAGCCGAAACGAACGAGAAGTTTGGAGACCGCCATGGCAGACTTTCGTCGTCGGACCCGTTGTGGATTGGAGAAAGCTATAGTAGAGAAATCCCTATCGGAACAATTCCAGAGTCAGTATAATGAACAAAACGAAAGACAAGATTGATTCCGCGATACCTTCCGCCAAACAGTGCTGTTGGACAAATGCGCCGCTCTCAGAGAGGAAACCCTCGAGCGGCTCGACACATGACTTAAGACCGATGACATCCATGAAGAGAGGACATTGAGTAGCCACAGCACAGTCAATCCCGGACGTGATGTCGCTTGTCCCTGGTAGTCGACAAGTAACAAGAGCAGCGGCCGCATGGAGCGTCCCGGCGATTGGGGAAAAAAGCTTGGTCACGTGACTGATCGTCACGAGTTGCGGTTCTGGCATGGCGCGCAGGAGGATCTCGCTACTCTCCCGCCTGGAGATGGAGTCCGTCTTGCGTCCTTTCAGCTCTGCGCCCTGACTTGCCCTGAACCCGCTTGCTTTTGTGGCGTCAAGGAGCTTGTTACTCCGTGTCAATCTACTGTCGTTGTGACATTGCCGTGTGCGTCGCGATCTAATCCTCCCTAGCTGCAGCGTACCGCTTCTCGATCGAGCCTCGTAACTATTGGCGCATCCGCTTCGGAGAACAAGGAACACTCAATCACCGACGACTATTTTCCGCCTCTCTCGAATCATATCCCTTCATTCCATTTGTCTCCCATTTATTTTTGGCCGATTGTGTGTTCGCTGTCACACTCTGTCGCCTGTTGGACCTTCCTGAGCGGCTTCGCAAAAAAAGGAATAATCGAGGCCATTTTGTACTCGCGTCAAAGAAGAGTTCGAGAACGGCGCGACCCCAAGCCATGAGTGCAGACGAAGGCGGAGGGACGGCCCCGATGCCGGTCACGAATGGCGACCAGTCGCAAAATACGCCCGAACCATCTGTCCTGGCGACTCCAGGCAAGCGAAAGCGTGTCGCGAGTCACGACGAGAAGGCCGTCCAAGACGCTAGCGCTTCTGCGGCGCAATCGCAAGAAAAGGCAAAATTACAGGAAACGCTACGCAATTTGGTGGACATTTTGAGCAAGTGAGCACTCCGCGTCACCACTAAATCGTGACTACTTCCCACTAACCCATGTCAGGAGCGATGCCGATTTGCATCTCCTATCCTGTCCTTTACCGTCGTCGCCGGCAAAACCACGTTCGAAACGCGCAAAGGTGTCCGGTGATAAAGACGAGAGTTCGAGCATTCAAGCACGGGTGGCGTCAGACCGATACAGTAGTTTGTCGGAGTTTTTGAGCGATATTGAGAAGGCGTCGGCGGCGGTGATAGAGCGGAACAAAGCTCAAGCAACGCCTGCTCCAGCTGACGGGTCACCTCTGAC